GCCACAATTAAAAGTATCATGCTGAGACCTGGGATATCTAAATATCAGCATTTGGTGTTTAAAATGCAAGACAACCAGCTCAGGACTTACTTTGTTGCTTTTAAAGTCAAGTCTTCTCCCATACATTATAAATGATCAAACAGTCCTTAAACCATCATGTATATTGTTTAACAATAATTAAACTACTTAGAATTTTTGGCACACTAAATCCAAAATGGGTTTGGAGTTTACTTTAAGTCTGCACAGTTCAAATAAAATAGATACAATCTGGCATACTAAATTAAAAGCCATTGACATGCCTATGGAGGTTTTGCAGTAACCTACTAGCAACCACTAGATGTAGCTGGCATTCTGGACAATTTTGATGTATAGTTATAAACTGATTTCTAATATAATCACGTAGGGATTTTAAAAATGTTATTTGTAATCCAATTTCAGATGTGCAGTTTCATTGACATGCACCCATGAAACGCAGTCATGCAATTTTTAATAACTCTTTTCTCAGGTTTTAAAATTGGATTGATGGCCAGAAAGATTTGCAATTGCACTTTTAACCCTAATTTCCTTTTACATTTGGGATTTTTTTTTTTTTTTAGGGAAGAAGGGACTTTAAATAGTTTTAAAATTAGACATTTTTGCTGCTTATTTTTCTTTTAAAAATTAATAATAAATTTTATTGCAAGTACTCTGGATTCCAAGGTTGTGAAGGGAAAAAAGAGAAGCACTGTAAACAGGGCAGATGGAAAAGCAGATAACACAGCAATGCCATTGTTTTATGACTACGAATGCTCACCAAAATCTCCCTTGCTCATCCCCCAAAGGGAGACATGTGCTGCACGTCATCCTCATCAAGAAGCTTCATTAAAAGACCTACTTAGCTTGGTAAACCAAAATGCAACCAGGATGCTGAATTTAGGAGATACAATATAAAAATACCCATGGAGATATTTTGTAAAAATAATATAAGGTACTATCATAGTTTGTCTGCAGGATTGGAGGCCTTGGTTTAATTTGGTTGGTATCCAGCTGGAGATAACCAGAGTACCAGCGGGATACAAAAGAAGCTTAGGTTTACATTGTGTTGAATCAGGCCAACAACCACATAGTCTGCCATTTTCTGTCATACTGAGGTCAAGTTACATTCCAGAAGTTCACTAGCTGCCTTCTACTGTTGTGCCTCTATGTTGCTGTGCTTAAGGAGATAGTATATAGCTATTTAAATAGCATACATTAATCTAGTGGAATGCTCCATTCATTTCTCTGGTGTCCTTTTAAAGTTAACCAGGCACAATTTATAGAGAAGAAAAAGACCATTTGCAAGCATATTCCAGCACTGTCCTCAACCTACAGGGCCACTGGAACAGAGATAAGTGGTTTCAGATACATAGAGGGAAATGAGCATTATGATGTACAGTTTGCAGAATTTCTGGGTCGTATTTGAAATACAGTTAAAATACAGTTCAGTAGGCTGATCATTTTCTAACCAATTTCAACTGTTTTCAGGCAGAGAAATGGAAAATAGCAACAACTTAAAAGAAGCAAGATTTCATACTGTGATAAGATAAATGATTAATCTATCAGCCCTTTACACTCTTTGCATAGATATAGAGAAACTCACTCACTGTAAGAAAATTAACTTTGTTCATTTTAAATTAACATTAACTGCTCTTCTAAAATGGTATAGCATGACTTATGTAAGTACTTATTATTACTTGCCTTCAGACACTTGGACACCTGCTTTCAAAATCCTAACTAGTTCATGAAGAGGATGGAGCCAGTCTATTTCACCTTCCCCTTCCTCACATGACTGCTCTGAGATATTTCAGCAACCCATGTATGCCACTCTGAGCTCTTTTGAGAAAGCATGTGCTTAAAATGTGATAAATAAGTCAGCTTTCACCCGTTCTAAATTTAGTTTCATTCTGGCTGATAATATTCTCTTACTCTGCAAGTATTTGATGCAGAAAATATACTCTAATTGTGACTAGAGCTTAGTTTGGGATAAATGTCATTATTTTGGCATCACAGTTTGTTTCAAATGCTAAAAGATGTTATAGTTAACCCAGTCTTATGAGTTTCTTTAACACAGGGGTCTTCAAACTTGGCCCTTTTATGACTTGTGGACTTCAACTCCCAGAATTCCTCAGCCTGGCTGAAGAATTCTGGGAGTTGAAGTCTACAAGTCATAAAAGGGCCAAGTTTGAAGACCCCTGCTTTAACATATTGGAGTAGGGCTTGTGTTTTCAAAGCACACTAAACTTAATTGTAATTAGGCAATACATTATAGTAAATGGAGTCATTTGATAGTATACATGAATACTGGGGACACTTGGCAGAAATGTTTGGAAGAAACAAGCTTCTGTTTGAGCAGACTAGGTATCTGTCAATTCAGCCCTACTATTTTAGCAGTAGTAGAATGCATGATAGCTTATCTTCAAAACAAACCTATGAGGGAAGTTAGGGTCTTTACCTAAAGCACAGGTGGGCAACTATGGCCCTTTTACAACCTGTGGACCAACTCCCAAAATTCCTGAACCAGCATGCTGGCTCAGGAATTCTGGGAGTTGAAGTCCACAGGTCTTAAAGGGGCCATAGTTGCCCACCCCTGGCCTAAAGATACTCAAAGAAGTTCATATCTGAGGAGACTTAAAAGGATCTCCTTGATTCTACTCTAATATTCTAACCACTGTTATCCTACTAACATGAGACTAAAGGGGAAAAAAACCAAGTGTGACCAGGAATGGATTTGGCCATGCAAAGACAATAATCATCATTTAATTTAGATATTCTTTTCTCTTTACCCCTCCCATCCTCATCCTCTTCCTCATCCTCCGTTATTCTTTAGCTTTAAGTGTATAGTTTTTGCACCAGCTTCCAACAAAAGTTGGCATTCCAACAAAAGTGACATACATCCATATGGTGGGTGGGGTCCTTGGTAATAATAATAATAATAATGATAAAGTTGGAAGGAACCTTAGAGGTCATCTAGTCCAACCCCCTGCTCAGGCAGGAAACCCTATACCATTTCGGACAAATGGCTGTCCAGTTTCTTCTTAAAAACCTCCAGTGTTGGCACATTCACTGCTTCTGGATGCAGGTTGTACACTCTGTTGTACACTCTGAACTTGGCTGTTTGCTTGCAGACATGTTATTAACCAGCTAGATAACATCATGGTGTTACCCAGTCAGGAAATGAAATAACTGCAAGTAAACAACCAAGCACAGAGACTACTAAGGATTCCACTATTCAACCCTGAGCTACATACAATCCTCTTCTGTTGATGCCCACAATGTGCCTGTAGTTTCTCTAGGAAAAAAAACATGGACGTTGTGCTGAAAGTTGTGGTCCTGATGGTTTTTCAAGCCTAATTTGCTGTCATTTTTTCCTAACAAAGTCGCGGTACAATACATTTTAGCTAGTCAAGAAAACCATTTCTGAGGTTTGGTGTCATTTCTTTGACTTGTGTTCCACTTTTTGGTATTTTTAATATGATAACACTTCAGTTTAATGAGTCATTTGGGGGGAAAGAATTTATTAAATCTGAATTTAAGAAATAAATATTTGCATAATTACATAGTTGACATGTTTATATTATCTGTGTAATGGAAAAGACATAAAAAGTCAAATAGTAATTATGATAGAAATGGAGGCAAATGACTTAAGCTACGTCAAGTGTCCAGACAAACTTTGTGGATGAGATCTGAAGACACATTTTGTCCACTGCATCCAGACTCCATTAAATGGGAATCCCATTAAATTGAGGTATCACAATAATGACACAGTGCTTTAGATTAACTTTCTTCTCCCAATGGAGATGAAGAAGCCAATTCCAGCCTTTTTTATTGTACTGGCACCATGCACACTACATCTACTGATTCTGCTAATGACACACCAGAAGACCCTAGGTATATACCTATGCATGCCTCTTTTAGAGAACATGCAAATAAATGGGTCTGAGTTTTTTTATTTTTATTTTTTTAGAGTGAGCATGGAGGATCGACCTTAAATGATCAAGTGAATGGGAAAGGAAAGGTATTGCTGTATTTAAAATGCTCATTCCAGACGGTCTTCCATCCTTGAGCAGTTATGGAATATTACACGAATAAATGCACTAATGGAATCTGGGAAAGAAGAAAGTCATGGGGACTAGAAACAAGGTAGGGAAACATGCAGGGTAGAACTTTCAATTGTTCACCAACAGTGGCCATAGGAGGAGTTGGTATTTTTTTATATAGTATAATAAAGTAACATGCATCTCTCTGGACTAATGATGCATGTATGTGTATTGTTTGTGTATGTTTGTGAGAGAGGGGGGTAGGTATATACACGTTGCTTGGATCTCTGAGGATCTACTCAGGATGTCTCATGAGAAGGTGAAACAGCCTATCTTCTAATGCAGTGGTTCCCAACCTTTTCTACACCCCGCATGCCTAGAACGCTTCTGATATATTCTCGCACCCCTTACAAAAGTTCAAAACAACAGCAACAAATTATGCATATACACTATAATTTTGAAAACCCAAGTTTTTGCACTCCCTGAAATATTATCTGGCACCTTTGGTTGGGAACCCCTGTTCTAATGCATAACCTCCATCAGTTGGATTTCCATAACAGATTAAACCATAAACTAGCCATTAACTGAGCAGATTCTGCAGTTCCACCCGGTGTGGCCAAATTGAAGTTCACTAGGTTGTGCAGACCCTGAAAATTCAATTAATTACAAACCACGATTAAATTAATCACAAGTAAACCTTTTGTCTGAGCACAATTTCAATATTTCCAGAAGCTGTACTATAGGGAGGAAAAAAAAACAGGAGCCATTTACAGACAAATCCTCAAAGTGCAAAAAAGCTTTTTGGGTAGTTAGTAACATTTTTTTTTCTGTGTAGTGTGATAAGGTGCACCTGCTGAAATTCCTCCTGCATTTTGTGCAGCTGCTGAAGCCCAACTTCAGCGGTCTCTTCATTTTGGCGTTTGGGATTGGAAGATTGTTTTCAAACTTGGGTGTGTATTTGCCTGCTGTCATTTAGTCCTCCTCCTTCTCCTCCTCCTCCTTTCCTTCTATGTAGTCAGAGCCTTCCTTTGGGGCCTCTCTCATCATTTTCTTCATCTTTATTTCTTTTTTTACCCTCTAGGTAAGTGTGCCAAATCCTTTTTATTTGTTTGTGATAGGGAGAATAGGGGGCTATGGGCTGATCTTTTTATTATACAATATCATTTTCTATACTTTAAATACTGGGCAGATAAAAGCATGGGAATCCATGTGAAAGATTACCAGCCTTGCTGAAATTTTCAACCAGAAAGCAAAGTTGGTATTTTAGGAGAAAGGGGATTTAAAGTAGAATTCAAAGAAGGTCACTTGTATATAATATGAAAACCATGAGGTTATTGACAAGGATATTTGAATCATCATTATCCTGATTGACTTAAAGTATGAGTAGTCTTGTATTATGTTTCTGAAATGGTCTTTTTACTGCAACTGAAATGTTCTGAATTGGTTATAAATATATTGTGCTCAGTAGGTGTTTTCTAACAGGTTTTGAAAAACTATGATAGTTCAAAGAATTGATAGAAAACAGAGGTTTTTATGTTTGAGAACAAGCAATAACAAAGGCTGGATGCTTGTCTCTGTGTGTGTGTGTGTGTTTCCCATTAAACATATACACACACTAGTCTTGGTAATGCTTCCATTTTAATTGGTACCAGCTAACTAATATAATCTATTGATTACTTGGGTAATAAGCCCAATTTCATCTCAGTGGACATAACTTTTCAAATATTTGGTGCGTATGTGTTTTGTAAATGTAAATAATAAAGACAGGGTCCAGTGTGATCCCTATCCTTTCTTGGTTAGGCTGAAAATAGCTTGTGACTTTAGAGCAGGTGTTGTGTGTCTTTCTGAGATATCTACTGAGTGGAAGGGAAGAGAGAGCCAAGATCTAAAAATAGGCAAACTCTTAAACTGTCTTAGTATGAAAAAGTCCTTGTGACAAGGAGAAGGACATTTTGTAAAATAGATCTCTATTATAAAGAGGAAGAAAACATGTTAAGATGGCTTCCTAAAAAATATAGAATGAGGCAACTTGTTGATGAGGTGTTCAGTAACTATTAACAGGAAATACTGATGGAATAATAATAAAATAGAAAAAAAGTATCATTGAACTTAGAATAATCTTTTTTAAAAGTTCTTAAACAGGTGTTACTTTCAGCTGTATCACCCTGAAGAGCACACCAGACACATGTGAATAACACTATAGTCCAAAAGTGTATAGGGTATGAAAACATCATACTAAATCAGTAAACAGAGGCATGGATTAAAGCTGAACATTTTATTTCATAGAATTTTCTTCCTGCTCCAGAAAGCATCTTCCTAAAGAAAACTCACAACTGGCCTCTCTTATGCAAAGAAAGATTTCCAACTTCTAGGTTTAATGAATTTTACAATCATACTTCCTTCCTTCCTATCCAAAATCAGAACTCTGAAACTGATACATACAAGATCACCAAAGGTGTATCATTGCAGTTCTTTGAAAAACAATTGGATGCTTGTTCAATACCAAACCAAGTATGTGAAGAAACTCACATCCTATTCTTAGCCATTGTATTTCATACTATTTAGATACCTTAAAGTGGAGAATTCAGTGTACTGTAAATAGCACTAGCAATAGTAATAGCACTTAGATTTATATACTGCTTCACTGTGCTTTGCAGTCCTCTCTAAGTAGTATACAAAGTCAGCATATCGCCCCCAACAATCTGGGTCCTCATTTTACTCACCTTGGAAGGATGGAAGGCTGAGTCAACGTTGAACTGGAGAGACTCGAACTGCTAGCAGCCCGCAGAATTAGCCTGCAATACAGCATTCTAACCACTGTGCCACCATGGCTCCAATCTGTGATATAATTCCAGTGCTCCATGAAGGTTTCTTGCCCCCCCCCCCAAAATCCGCAATACAATTGTGGATGTGTATCTATTAAATATATACAGACACACAAATGTACATGCATACCCATATTTCTGTACAATACCTTGCTATCCTGTTCAGTGCATTTTCTGTCTTATTCAGACATTTTATAATTAATACAGTGTTACTCTGGATGAGACATAAGTCTAGCAATGCCTTTTTCCTAATAATGGAACAGAATTCTGAAAAAAATTGCAAACCAGGGTAATTATTGCCAAGTAATTGTTATAGTAAGTTATAATATTTCTATGTGAAAAAGATAGACACGATAATAGGACAAGTATTCATTTAGTGTTCATCTTCATTTTACAGCTCACAATGGGAAATAACTACTGTACTTGGCCAAATCTAGTTTAGTCACTCATACTCAATGCAGTGTCAAGAAAAAAAGGGCATAAGCATGCAATCAAACCCCTTCTCTCACCTAATCCTAATGCTGCTTCTCTGAACTAGCTGAAACTACTAGCATTCAGAATGTCTACTTATTTGAATTTCCTTTTTTACTGAGCATAACCTAGGGAACTACTACTGTGGTACATATGCAGAAAAGCATTTGTTTCCCTGAAATACACAGATTTTTTTTTAACAATTTCCCAAGGGGGTCACTGATTTAGTTTGAGAAAGCATACAAACAACAAAGTTGTAATTGCCATCAGCTGCTATTTTTCTAGGCCGAGTAAAACTCTGCTGCAACTGGCTTCATCCCAGAAAATGTGTCAACTTAATTCTTCATTAAGACAGCGTAACACATAATTCTTTGGACCAGAGTAACATTGCAAAGTCTTTATAGCATTCATTAATACAATATCCATGTCCATAATTCAGATATATCAGGGTGTCCAAATTCATGTCTGGTATGAAACGGGTATGAACTGTTCTAATTCTCTGACTATTGAAACCCAAAAGCCATCAGATCGCCCCCTGGATAGTAATTGCTACTTGATGGGATGAAAAGAAATGTGGTTTGCTGCAGATGCTGGATATACTGAGTATATTATACAATTGCCATAAACCATATTGTTCACTTGGGCATACAATGTTACTAGCATAGGTATCCAAAGAATGAATCTTCTGGGTTCTCCCTTTTTGTAGAAAGAAAAGGAGGAAGTTATTTTGGACATTCTGGAGGGGGGAAAAGTCCCAAATCAGAGACTTGAATAACAGACCCTCTCTATCCCTATCATTCCAGAAACATACATGTTACAGAGAAAACACCTATCCAATGGTGTGCTTCAGTGCAAGGCATTTTTATTGTGAGTCAGCAATAGGAAGCACCAAAAAAAAAAAAAAAAGGCAAAATGTACAGATTGAAAGTAATTATTTTAAAATCAATAATAAAAAAAGGAAGAAGATGGAACTGTTGTGAGAGAAGAGCGCCCATGCTGGTGTTCTTTTAAAATGATGTGATTAGTACTGAGTAGTCTACTTCTGATTACAGGAAAAGACAACAGGAAAGAATAATTTAAGCAGTTGTATGGAAGAGTGTTCTGTGCTTCTTTAAAGACATCAGATATGTTCTTGAACTGAATTCCCATTAGGTATATCCAGCCGAGGTGGTAGGGGCACAATCTGATAGTGTGATCTGGGATGAGTTGGAATTAGTGATTCTTGAGAAAATAAACAGGGTTCTTTGTGTTGTTAGCTCGGCCACCTGTTTGTTGGACCCAGGCCATTCTTGACTTGTTGAAGGTGGCTAGGACATCTTCTATAGTGGGATTCAAATGATGCTGCTGGCCTTTTTGAGAGAGGGATGGTGCTGAAGGCCTTGAAAGAGGCTGTGGTATACCCCATCCTCAATAGGCCCAATTATTTTAGATGAATATCATCCAGTCTCCAATCTTTCCTTTTTAGGGAAGATTGTTGGAATTTCTCCAGGTGAGGCTGAATTTCAGAGGATCCTGGAGGAAGCAGATTATCTGGATTAAGTTCAGTCAGGGTTGATGACTGGTGGTGGAGCCAGGATGGGGGATGATGTATCAGCAGCTTTCAATACCACCCACCAAGGGTGATATTAAATATCAATTAAATAGTGTTGTCTTTTGATACAGAGGAATTACAGCTTTTCTATAGTTGTGCCTGTTCTCTGGAATACAGAGAGAAAGAGAGAGAGAGAGAGAGAGAGAGAGAGAGAGAGAGAGAGAGAGAGAGAGAGAGAGATTATATTTTATTATTTATTACTGGGATTGTACACTTGCTATTACCTTAGAAGTGTGGAAGATACTGGAAATACCTAAATAAACCTGTATATAAATAAATTGTCTATTGCCAACCTTGAAAAGCAGGCTAAAACTGTTGACTTCGGCGTCAGTTGTTTTGCCTCCTGCAATCTTCAAGATGTTCATCTAAAACTGAGCTCTCTTTGCTGCCAGGTATCCAGCATGGACTATAACCAAAGCGCCAGTGACCAGCCTGGGCAGCAACAATCACCTTCTGCAAGCACCCCTGATGATCTGTCTTCTCAGAATGGCTTTGGGAGAGCAAGCGAGACCCTGCTTCCTCAGTCGCCTGAGAACGCAGCCCAGGCTGAGCCTGAAATAAAAGTCTGTGATATATCTGAGATGCTGAGCCAACAGCTGGAGGACATTCTTAAAACCTACGGGTCAGCTGCCTGTCTGGTGGAGGAAGGAAACACGAAAGCAACAGGCGGACCTGAAAAAGGAGAATCGGTCAATCCCGAAGATGGGGACTGTGAGGATGGCCACGATGAGGCTGAGAAAGAACAGGTCCCTATGGAGGATGCCTCTGGATTCAAAGAGGCCAATATTCCGAAAGAACAAAAACCGGAAAAGAAAATCCTGAAAGGATTAGGCAAGTAGTGATTTGTGTAACTGAAATGCAGAACTTAAGTGCCAGTCATTGCTGGTATTGGGGAAAACATGACAAGGGTCTCTGTAAAATGTCAGCATTTAGCATTGATCCTGCCAGCTCTCTTCTCCACCGTTGCAAAAAAAAAAAAAAGTATGATTTTTTTCCCTAAAAAGTGGGGACTTGCTTTGTTTTCAATTGAAAAATTTGGAAAATTAGAAACAGTTTCGGGCAGCAATAATAATGGGAGTGAGTAGCATTTGATCAATAATGGGCACTTTTGTATGTTGGGCTCCAGATGTGCCAAGGTATTTATTTTTATTTAGCAATAGCAATAACCTATTAGACTTACATACTGCTTCACAGTGCTTTATAGCCCTCTCTAAGTGGTTTACAATGTTAGTATATTGCTCCCAACAATCTGGCTCCTCATTTTACTGACCTCGGAAAGATGGAAGGTTGAGTCAACCTTTACCCTACATTTCCTGGGTCAAGGCATATGCAGATGGGAATCTCCCCTCATTTTATTCCCACAACAATAACCCTTAGAATCAGGTGAAGATCAGAAAGAGTGAGGGCTAAAGCCGCCCAATAACTTCAACAATGGAATAAGAATTTGAATCTAGGTCTTTTCAGCCCAGCATCCCAGTCCAACACACTGGCCTTCTCAGTCTTTCGATGTGTTAAATAATGCATCTTTCTCCTATGTAATGTTTCCACTATAAAACAAAGGATATACTTATTATATTTATTATTAAATGTATTCTCTGCCTTTCTGCATTTATAGCCCCTAGAAGGGCTTACAATAATGTAAGCAAAATGCAATAGTAAAATATACTGTACATACTCACGGATAAGCTGAGAATTTAGGTGCCAAAATACACTCCCAAAATTGGGTTCGGTTATCCATGAGTAAGTATAATAATTGTGGGTTTTTTTAAAGACAATTAAAAGCTTGACTGTTGAGATCATTTTTCCATTGTCCTAAATCAGGGGTGTCAAACTCAATTTCATTGAGGGCCGCATCAGCATTGCGGTTGCCCTTGGGGAGCCGGGTGTGTGTGGCCAGGGTGGGTGCGGCCTACTGGGTGGGTGTGGATGGAGTGGGTGTGGCCTACTGGATGGGCATGGCCAGCTCTACATCATTCATGTCAAGGGTGCCTGTGGGGGCCTGGGCAGGAGTGGGACAGATCTGAGGGTCTCTGGCAGAAGGGGGTGGGACTGGGGCAAGTGCCAAGACATGGTCCATTTCTTCATTGCTCACAAAGGGTGACACCTCCCCAGCATGCACCCGGGGGGCAGGGCCAACACAGCAGGGGCTAGTTCCTCGCTGTTTCTAGATGGCCTTGTGGAGCTAAGACTGAATGTGTTTCAGTGTAGATGGCCACCACAAAATTGTACATTGGCTCCCAGCCAGCCTGGGCCAGGGCCAAGGCAGCGAGGGCCGTTCCCTCACTGTTTCCAGGATGGCTTCGCGGGCCACATGAAACCACTTCGTGGGCCGCATCTGGCCCCCGGGCTTTGTGTTTGACATGTCTATCCTAAATGCTGAAAAAGCGGAGAGCCAAAAGCCCTTTCATACAAAGAGCTTTCTGAATCCTGAAAGCCATGGAGGTAGTCCTCAACCACAACTGAGGCCAAAATTCCTGTTGCTAAGTTAAGTGAATTTTGCCCCATTTTTATGGCCTTCCTGGTCACAGTTGTTCAGTGAATCGCTGCAGTTGTCAAGTTAGTAACACGGTTGTTAAGTGAATCTGGTTTCCCCATTGACTACGTTTGGCAGAAGATTGCAAAAGGGGATCACCTGACCCCAGGACATTGCAACCATCATAAATGTGAGTCAGTTGCCAAGCATCTGAATTCTGATCACTTGACCATGGATATCCTGCAACCGTCGTAAGTGTGAAAAAAGGTAATAAGTCACTTTTTTCAGTTCCATTGAAAGTTCAGCTGGTCATTAAATGAACTGTTTTAAGTCAAGGACTACCTGTACAGAAGAAGAATATCTTAAATGGCCAATTTCTAGCAATGACAGCATCTTCAGCAGAACAATAAAGCATCTTCTTTTAGAGATTCTGGACCTAAACCAGGGGTAGGCAACCTTGGCTCTTTTATGACTCGTGGACTTCAACTCCCAGAATTCCTGAGCCAGCCATGCTGGCTCAGGAATTCTGGGAGTTGAAGTCCACGAGTCATAAAAGAGTCAAGGTTGCCTACCCCTGACCTAAACTATTGGGGGCTTTAAAGGTTAAAAAAAACCTGCAACATAAATTGTATCTGGATGGCAGCTTCTTAATAGTAGATCATTCAGGGCAGGCTTCATATAATCCTTTCTAACACCCTGCTTGTGTTAGAAGTTTGCTCCACACATTTTGCACCCAACTGCCATTTTTCAAAATGTTTTCTTTATTTATAGACCTTATAGGCCACACTAATCTCCCCTCAAAATATAATTGGGATTTAAATTGGGATTAAAACAAGAAAAAAGTTTTAAGAAACTATGAAACTGGGAATCAGAAAAGCACTAACAATAAAAAAAAAAATCTCACAAGAGGCAGTCAGAAACCTGATGTGATAAACTGCCAAATTTGCAGATATTTCATTAGGTAATGTGAGTGCATTGCATTGCACTGATGATGTTACCTAGCTAGATAATGAAAGGTCTGCAAGCAAACAACCAAGTTCAGAGAACACCAAGAATTCCACAGTTCAACCCTGAGCTACATATAATTCTCTTCCATTGGGACATGATAATTGTCACCAAGTTGAGCAAACTCAAAAAGGAGGTTAATTGGTGTATTAGCCATAGTTGTGCAAACACAACCCTTCCCATAGCTGCTGCTTGCAAATCCAGTGACAGCTGAGAATCAAAAAGCACTCCCAAATGCCACAGCCTTTCTCCCTCAAAAACCCATTATTAAGATTAAGACAATATTCAAAGGTTATACACACACATAACATAAACATCAATCATATGCAGAACCATAAACATACAACATAAATTCAAAACTAAACATCTCTCTTTCCAAAAAAATAAAACCACATATAGTCTACTTCCACCCTCCACTTTCCTCATGGACACATTAACAATTTCTTTTCATTTTGTGCTGTTGTAATCACTATTTAAATTTTATGTTATCTCCCCTTATTTCATCTATTTGTCCCTACTTTTGTAATATAGCCCATAAACACACCACAGCAGTGGTGGGATTCAGCCAGTTCGCACCACTTCGGCAGAACCGGTAGCTAATTTTTTGTTGCCCAGGCCCACAATGGACTTCCGGAAGCGGCATCCACATAGAGAATTGTTTGTTCACATATTTGAATCCCACCACTGCACTACACTCTTTAATAAAGAGCCTCTGTAGATTTTTCTCATTAGACATGTCAGTTTTGCCATCTCCCCCAAGTCCCTAACTTCACATATCCAGTCTTCCACATTTAGAGCATCTTTATTTTTTCATTTCTGCCCATATAATAATCTTGCTGCAATGATCATATACAATAATAAGACACCGTGCATTTTACTCAGTCCTTCTTCCATAAACCCTAATAAGTACAGTTCTGGTTTCATCTGACAAGGAATTCCTATTATGAATGAAGGCAAACATACTTGTCCCAGGTTAATGTTGCAGGATCAAGTCTGAGTCCAGAGAAAGTAGTTCCCCAAGGATGGGCTCCAGCACAAGTCCAAAAGCTTAGGAGACTAAATCTCCAGTAACCGACTCAGATTCGATTCCTATTATTTTCACCAATGTCCTGTGGATCGCTGACCAAAATATTTTGCCCAAGTCTATCACAGAGGATAATATGTTTCATCCCCTTTTCCACATTTCCAACATTTGCACGAAATATTCTTACAGAGTTTTCATAGTTTCACAGTTGTCAAATGCCATCTCTACATCAATTTGTAAAAACTTTCTCTTAAATTATTGCACAAGGTGAATTTAATTTTGATGGAATTCTGTTCCAAAGAGGCAAAGGACTTTCCCTAGCCCAGGGATAGGCAACCTTGACTCTTTTATGACTCATGGACTTCAACTCCCAGAATTCCCGAGTCAGCTATGTTGACTCAGGAATTCTGGGAGTTGAAGTCCACGAGTCATAAAAGAGCCAAGGTTGCCTACCCCTGCCCTAGCCCTTTCATGCAGATATTAATTGGCATAGGGAACAAGATATAATTATATGGAACATAATTTGTTAGTGACAAGGATATTGAGTAGTTTTTCCTGCACCATCTTCTGGCTATGCCCTAACCCAAAAAACCAGAATCGCTGCAATAGTGTTGAAAAATAGAGCCCAACCCTATGGGACATCTCAGAAATATAATATTGTTAACGTCTAGGTTTCTGCATTCTTTTAGCTTGTCATCTCACAAAACACAATTATTTTAATTTGTGGATAAAAAGTAGGTATAAAGTTGATGTAGCAGCAGAAAAGGAAAACCATGGAATGTATCATCAGTAGGTGTTCTGTGCATCATCTTCCTGATCTTTTAAAATACAGAAGCAACAAAACCTGATTAGTCACAGTTTTCAGATTAAGATATATTCGTGCAATCTTAATTTTTTTCTGACGCATTCTCACTTTGATCGTTTATCCTATTTTCCTGTTTCAGGAAAAGAGGCTACCCTGCTAATACAACATCTGACCAAGCTGAATACACCAGAAGAGAAATTGGAGCTCTTATTTAAGAAGTATGCTGAACTGGTTAGTATAGCACTTAGGAAGATCTGTGGTAGGGAGGGGAGAATTGCTTAAAAACATGTCTTATGTGATGCAAAATGGCCAGATTGCAGATACAGTATATTTTTAAGATCCCTGATAAAAGCATTGAAAATGCCATCTTAAATTAGGGGAAAGGAAGATTCCTCCACTCATTTTCCTTTCTTAGTTATATTGTATAAGACACATAAGTATGATCAATATTCTGGGTCAGCTGGAAGGATAAGATTTGGAGGACACTATACTGGAATGGTTCTTCTCTTTCATAAGGAGGTGATTTCAGTCAGTGGCTTTGGGGGAGGAGAGGTCAGACCAGGGGTCTTCAAACTTGGCCCTTTTATGACTTGTGGACTTCACTCCCAGAATTCCTCAGCCAGTGTGCCTGGGCCAGACTTTGAACACTCCTATATGGAGTTCCTGCAGTTTGACTCCCTCCCTTATTCTTTTAATATATCTGAATCTATTCTGTTAAGTCACACATTGCTTCAGCGGGAGACATCACCAATATTTACATTTCTAAATACATATCTCCACCTGAGACAAATGGGAGTCCACTCCCAATGTGTTTGAAATCTGTCAGGGTAGAGAATAAGGGAGATGACCTTGACAGAAATATGCAAGAGCAAAGAGAGATGAAACATTATTTAACCTTGGAGGCAAGAGTATATTTGGAAGTAGCTTGAGGCAAATAGCTCCCTGGTTCACTAGGGTAGAAGAAGAACAAGCAGGCTTCAAGTTTCTCTTATTATAACTTAACTCAGTAACTTGTAGTTTTGGGGTTTTTGCGGAGTCAATTTCCAGATCTACCTACCTAGTAGGGCCAACTATCCAAGCTGGAAGAAGAGAAACAGGCTCAGATTTGACCCAAGAAAGACAAAGTGGTTGTTAATTTAGAAGCCAAAAGATTGTATTAACTTTAATTCTAGACAAGGTTGTCTTCTTCTTGAAAAAACAGGTCCACAATCTGGAGGGTTATCTGGACTCATAGTTCCTGCTGGACGTGACCATGATCAAAAAGATTATTTTCTCATTTTGTTTACTGCACTGGTTGTGGCCATTCTTGGAATGGGACGCACTGAGTACACTCACTCATATTGTTGCCTCTCACCTGGATTACCTTAATTCATTTTCATGGGGCTGCCCTTGATAACCATCCAGAATCTTCAGCTGGTTCAGAATGGACCTGCCTGTGTGATAAGTGGGCAGACCCATTAGCCCATTAGCTGACATATTGATCTTGCAGCTCCCTGGCAGTTGGCTTTTGAGTATACTTCTAGAGTTAATCATCTGTTATCCATCTATTTTAAGTCGAGTCTACTCCTCTGATGCATGCAAGTAAAGAGTACCTTCAAAGGGGTTCCACCTGTGGAGACTTCTAAAAGAGGTTTGGAAGGCTTATTGAGACCTATATATTTCAGAACGTCTTTAGACTGCAGTAATTCTACCATGGCATATTCAGAGTGCTGTGTCATATACAAGGCAACAATATTTTAGATCCCAGTTTTGTTGCCCTGCATATGACACACCACCATGAATATGCTATGGTAGAATTACTGCAGTGTGATGCATTCATTCTTTTTTATTATATTATTTTATTATTGTTATGAAGATTTGCTGGTTTGTAGATTGTTAATTAGTTAGCTTGGTAAAAGAGGCGTTGCAGGAGGAGAACCAAGAATCTGTAGCACCTTTCCCAACTAACACATCAAGTACTTTTGGCATTTTTATTTCATGTATTTATTTATTCAGTTCTATTTAGTCAATCTCAATTCTATTGACTGTGAGCAAAAAATATCATAATAATTGAAACCATAAAAACATAAGAAGAGTTATATTTTTATTATCAATTCCTTGTTATATATAATCAGTATAAAATCCAAGTATGATTGGACATACAAATTCCTATTCTATTTTGTTCTGTTCTATTCTATTCTATTCTATTCTATTCTATTCTGTTCTGTTCTGTTCTGTTCTGTTCTATTCTATTATTTGTCAGTTGGATTTTATTATATTCCTTGTAATATAATGTGCTAGATGGAAAAGGTATTACCAGATTTCTGAATAAAAGAGATATAAAAATCTTCATAAATAAATGCATTCTTTGCCATCTATTCCAGAGGTTCCCAACCTTTTGAGCACCAAGGACCAGTTACGTGAAAAGGGGTTTTTCCGCAGCACAGAGGGGGCATGGTTTTGTGTGTTGCCTGCATTTTACAGATGGGGCTTTGCTTGTTTGTGCGACCCAGTTGCTGGCATGCCACAGCCCATGGACCGGGGGTTGGGGACCCCTGATCTATTCCATCTCCCATCACTCAACCAGCATTTTGAACACACCCTCCTCCAGAACACCAAATTGAATTGCACATCACTTAATTTTACTTTGAATGGAATATATGGAAATAATAATTTGGAAATGGAATAATTAATTGAAGAACTGATAACATTTGGTGCAGAATCAGGAATGGAGAAATTAATTGGGGTGATCCTTACCCAACCTTTGATTTCTCATTTAATTTTGGTGTGAGTGAAACCAAGCCAAAGTTTTTTTCTGGGTATTTTTTTCCCCTTTGCCACCTGTCCACTGCCAGTGCAAGTTAGAAAATCTATTTTATTTAAAGTTATTTGGAAAAAAAATTAGCTTTTTTGCCTTCTATGAAATTTAAATAAATTCCAGTAATTATTCTAAATATCCATGTTACCTGCGGGGGGGGGGAGGTCATGTCTATTAAATGCCTAACAAACAGCCTTGACCCAAGCTCTCTCGTTTTATTCTTGTCCACATACTTTCAGCTGGAAGAACATCGTTCTGAACAAAAAAAGCTGAAGTATCTGCAGAAAAAACAGACACAGCTCATAAAGGAGAAAGACCAATTACAGAGTGAACACAGCAGAACTATCCTAGCCCGAAGCAAATTAGAGAGTCTGTGTAGGGAACTCCAAAGACACAACAAAACCCTGAAGGTAATGAGAAGAGAAGATCTTTAGGAGAAATCAGAAGGAAAAGTTAAGTTCACTTAATATCCTTGGTTCACAATAGATTGGGAAGGATCTTTCACTCTTAAATACTGAAAATTAGTAGCAACAATATGGTTTCTTGCTTCTATCTACACCAGGGGTAAGCAACCTTGGCTCTTTTATGACTCGTGGACTTCAACTCCCAGAATTCCTGAGCCACCATGGCTCAGCTTGGAAACCTCTCCCTTTCCCCTCAGCATGGCTGGCTCAGGAATTCTGGGAGTTGAAGTCCACGAGTCATAAAAGAGCCAAGGTTGCCTACCCCGGGTCTAAACTATACTTTGGAAAGAATTGAAACCTGCTCCTGTATTGTGCCTAATTTAATTTTGTCTCCTGGATTCCCACTTTTATCTAAAATAACTGAAACCAGATTTACAGAGATATAACCCAGATTTTTTCCACTGGTATCTCCAGTGGCAATGCATGGAAACTGGTGCTGTGTTATAATGCTTTTCTTCAGTTTTATGTGGATCAATAAAGTGTGAGGTATACGAGTGGACACTTTTGGGTGAGCTCAGTACAGTTAAAATATTAATTTCTCCAGAAATTTCTCATAAAATAGTCAATAATGCAACTAAAGAAATTGATTCCAGTCACATGTTGGCCACTATTATATCATTGCTCCTTCCAAAAGTAATGCAAATACATGTTCTTGGCTGCAGAAGTGGCCTACATCTGATGTAAATTAATGTAAAACTAATTAAAGCAGCATCCAAAGCCCAAAAAATATAAGCTCAGATAGATGACAACCCTTAATCATCTTTGGCTGATCTCAGAAAACTAATGCTGAATCTAGCTCAGTGATGGCGAACCTTTTAGAGACTGAGTGCCCAAACTGCAACCCAAAATCCACTTATGCATTGTCAGGTGCTGGGTGGGCGTGGCCCATTGGCTGGGTGTGGCTGCCGTAGTCCCACGCAAACTGGTGGGACTAAAAATTTCAATCAATCAATTCCAACTTTGCAAGATGTTTTTTTTTCCCGCGAGAAGTTGAAATTGACTGATTGATTGGACTTTTTTTTTTTTTTTTTTTTTTTTGCACACGGCAGTGGAGGCCTAAAGCAAAAAGGTTTTATAAAACCCACTGAAGGCCTAGGACTGGGGCCATAGGTTTGCCAGCCTAGGACTGGGGCCATAGGTTTGCCACCACTGATCTAGCTGGTATGACCCAATTGTTGTATTACAGGAGGGGACTCTTCAGCGAGCAAGAGAAGAAGAAGAAAAAAGAAAGGAGATCACAAATCATTTCCAGAGCACATTGAATGATATCCAAGCACAGATTGAGCAGCAGAGTGAGAGGAACATGAAGTTGTGCCAGGAAAATACTGAGCTTGCTGAGAAACTGAAAAGCATCATTGATCAGTATGAAGTCAGAGAGGAGGTAAATATGGCAAATACGGTAGTCCTTGTTTAGTGACTGCTTCATACAGCAACCGTTTGCAGTTAGTGATAAAAAAAAGTAACTCCGTGACCAATCCCTGCACTTATCACCTTCACAGGTCTGTAAAGCAAAATAAAACTGAAGTAATATCATAAGTACAATCACATTTTCCCTTAGCAACCACTTCGCTAAACAACCAAGTGACTGAATCTAATTATGGTTGCTATATGAGGACTATCTGTACTCTTTAGGATATTCCCCCAAAGTTGAGAATTAGATCCAGCCTTGTGGCACTGGAGTAAGTGTAACGATTCGTCTGTCCCAGATTCTTAATGTTGCAGACATTTTGCAAACTATGCAAGATTTGCAAAATCAATAAGGGGTTTATTCGCCTTGCAATTTCTAATTGAATTAAGTCTAAGCAGTCTAAACTATACTTTGGACTTTGTGGAGTTTTGCCTATCATCTGTTTTTGTGCGTTGTATCTTGATGATAAGTTCCTTAAATTTCAGAAGCTTGAATGTTCTTTTGTGGCTTTCTTAGTAGATTTTTAGTAGATTTTTTTTCTCGTTCTCCTCCTTAAAGAAGAGATATATTGTAGTTTTGTTATTTGTACCTCCCTTCATTGCAACTAACATGCCATAGCATTTTTATTCTAGACTCAATATTCGTAGCTTAATCATTCCTTTTTATTCTTTATAAAACAAAACAATGTATTTATTCAGCAACACTGAGGGTCAATAAGTTAATTGAAGTCCATGAAATGTTGTTTTATTGTTGATGGATTTTGCCTCCATTGTAAGTTTTTATATGGTTGTGCTTTGATGTTTATTTTGGTATTGTGCTTTTTATGTAATGTTAGTCACCTAGAGTTGCTGTGGGGAAATGGGCAGCCATATAAATTGAATAAATAAATATCACCAGTAAAATAAACATATTTGGAATGCTACAAATAAATTTCAGCAGCTATAAAGAAATTATAATGCATGAGCTGAGAAAAACTCTATTTACTTGAACTTGTGTAGCTTGTAATTTCACAGTTGTTTTTATTGGGGATACTTAACATCTTTAAATAATTTAAAAATCTAAATAATGTCTTCCCAACAAACAGAAGTTGAAATAACTTCATAATATTTCTGCTATTTTACGTTTGTTGTTGTTAACAGCGCAATTCAGTACTTGCCTACTCAAAAATAATTCCCGATAAGATTTCCCAGATTCATAGAGAGACTGCAGTCTTAATCATGTACTCTAGCATTCTCCCATCTCTGTATCTCTCTCTCTCTCTGTGTTTTTTTTTTTTTCCCCTTCCAGCATCTTGATAAAATATTTAAGCACAGAGAACTTCACCAGAAACTGGTAGATGCCAAGCTGGAACAGTCACAAGAGGTCATGAAAGAAGCTGAAGAAAAGCATCAGCGAGAAAAGGAATATGTATTCATTTTTTTTCCTAAGTTGTTTATGTGTAGTTTGTGTTCACCCCTGAAAGGCCCTTTGTTTGTTTTATATCCTGTCTTTTATTTTTTACAACTCAAGTTGATGTACATTATATTCCTGTCTTCTATTTTCTCCACAATATCAACTTTCTGAGGTTGGACTGAGATAGAGTGACTGGTCTCACGTCACCCAGAAGGGTTTCATGCCTGAGGCCTAGAATTGATGGCATCCCAATTTCTCAACCCTCCATACTCTAACAGACAGGACTGTCAGACAGGCAGACAGGACTATGACTATGTTACCAGACTAGAACTGGAGAGATGCAACTGCATCCTTATGGCAGCTCACACAATATCTCTTAGCCCAGTGATGGCGAACTTTTTAGAGACCGAGTGCCCCAAAACCACCCCAACCTTCCTGCCCGCCTCCTCCTACTCCACCCGCCCCCGCCTGCCCACAGAGCCACCCACTGCCTCCACAGCCCACGCAGATCACTCAGGCAGCCCTGCAGCGCCATGGTGGCCACGCCCTCCACCCATGCCCCACAGCATCATCTGCACATGGGGTGTGAGGGTGGAGTCTTCTCCCTGCTGCCCGGCTGCCATGTCCTTGGCTGCGCTGCTATGTATGGGGCGTGCCCAGGGACAGCTCTCTGGGGGGGCTGCTGGTGAGGAGGGGGCCATGGGGAGAGGCAGGGCTGGAGCAATGGTGCGCGTGTCCACAGAGAGGGCTCTGAGTGCCGCCTCTGGCATGCATGCCAAAGGTTCGCCACCACTGTCTTAGCCCTTCTTGTTGTCATCAGAGACAGGAGTGCGTCAGTTTGAAACTTTAGGAGCCAGAATCACACAGGACTTCCATTCCAGAACAGGATATGTTCACCCTCCCTTAAGTATAAAAAGGAGAAGTATCTGCTGGTTTCAGGAAGCAATGGGCTCATTGTGACATTTGACACGTCCGCTAAGGAGCTCAAGGTGTATCTATAAGTCCCCTAATTTCTTCTCCCTGGATTTCTGTGATTACTATTAGTTGAATTAAGACACGATCTGTCTGGAGATTGCTTAACTCCATATCTGAGTAATAATTTGAACCCATATTCTTCCTATCCAATCTACCACAGGTCTTCCTCATTTAACATGCACTTGCTCAGCGACCATTTGAAGTTATAATGGTGCTGAACCATTATATGATACTAATGATACTAATTATAGGATACTTATGATAGGTCCTTGTACTTAGTTGTAAGCAAGTAGATCCATTGACAAAGATGCCTATTTTTAGATTAAAATATTTCAACAGGTCATGATTCAAAAATTCATTTGAATGTTTAACATATTTTGCAATAGTGTCTACAGCATGATATATTCTTTATGGCATACCAAATTAGGAAAAATCTGATCTTTAGATTTTATATCAGACCAAAATGCTTTAGCTTTGAAATTGCTTAAAGTTGCATTTTGCATTAGCAGCAGAATAACTCTGCTGCCCCCTGGTGGCCTTAATGTTTATTCGCTGCTTCTTGGCATGCAATCCAACCAGTTTAATTCTCCTTTAATTTAAAATAATTTTTAAAAGTATTGATCGTATTCAAAACATATGTAATGCCATGCTCAAAATTTAAATATCCTTTAGCCCAAACTTTGGTAAATATTGTTCAGTTAAAAAATTCCTTTTCTACATGTGTTTCAAAATTTATGTTTTACACGGAAAGAATTTTAATTTCTCATTGCATAATGGTGTGATTATTTGATACACTCCAAGAAGTAGGTGAGGGCAAAAAAGAAGTGGATTCAATACAAAAATTAAATTTGATACTTTTTATGTGTTAATTTTACTTACATTAAATTAAGAGCATACTACTTAAATGTAGTTAATAATTAACCACTTACATGAATATAATTTCTTTCAGTTCAGATGAAAAAATTGCAACCTAATGCAAACTTTTGGGAGAGACTTTAGGAGCTACAGCCAATAGTTTTAAGGCCCATATATACAGTGGGATAACTCACTACTCACTGCAGGGCAACTTGCCATGAGATTCACTTAGTTCCTTTTATTTTTGTTGACCACATTTTCGTCAAAATTATTTTATCTCTTATATTAAAAGAAATCATTCCTATGACTATTAGCTTTTGTAAGGTTTGATAAATAATAAAAGGAACTAATCCCATGTTGAATTGTCCCATGACAAGTTGTCCCGCAGTGAGTTGACTGCAACAAGTAAGATGTAGTGAGTCAGCAATGGCAAGATGGCCTAGTCCAGGGGAGGCAACCTTGGCTCTTTTATGATTCGTGGACTTCAACTTCCAGAATTCCTGAGGCAGCCTTGTTGGCTCAGGAATTCTGGGAAGTGAAGTCCATGAGTCATAAAAGAGCCAAGGTTGCCTATCCTTGGCCTACTCATTAGATTAGCGCAATGCACTCTACATGGAGCTCCTCTTGAAGACTATTTGGAAGCCTCAGTTGGTACAAAATGCAGTGGCATGGTCAGTAGTGTGTTCTCCTAGGGCAGCATGTTACACTTCTGCTCCGCAATGTGCACTCATTGCCGGTTTCCTTCCAGGTCCAATTCAAGATGATGGTTTAAAACATTTAAAGCCCTTCACGGCATTAGAGCAAGCTATATGAGGGACCACCATTGCCCATTTGTATCAGCCCACCCCATTTGATCACAGAGAGAAGGCATGCAGTAGGTACCTTGGCTAGGGAACTACATTTGGTTAATCCTAGGAGACATGCCTCCTCTGCTGTAGCGCCTGCCTTACGGAATATCCTTCCTCCTAAAATTAGATTGGCCCCATCCCTTTTGGTTTTTTGAACAGCCCTCCAGACTGGGGCTCCTACGGAATCAAAGCTTTGTCTCAGTGCTTTCACTGTTGAGGGAGGCCCTTTTTATCCTCCTTTCACCTACGTTGAGTATTTTTGTTTGTATGTTATTACTGTGGGGTTTTTTAGATTTTTATCTGCTATTATATTGGCTATTTTATCTATTGTTTTGTGCCACCCAAAGTCCCCTTCGGTGAGATGGGCAGCTATATAAATTGGATTAATAAATAAAAAATGAAATATTAACCCTTCTTTTTTTTTCTAGAAGCAAACAAGAACAACCAACTGCATTCAGGAATTGTATATTCTTTATGAGTTGGCTTTCCCTTCCGTCATATTTTATTAATATAAGCACCGATATCAGCCCAGAACTTTTCTGATTTGGAAGATAACTCCAGGCTATACAATCCGGCTGTTTTTAAAAAGGGCTAATTGAAAATATTGCTTTGAACAGTTGCTTTTATTACAAGTAGCTCCCAGATTTGTCTTGTAAATTAGACGTGTCAAGTTGAGCTATAGAGTGGAGATGGCAAAATAAAACTCATTAATGAGCCAGAACACATTAGACATACAAGCAGTTTCAGCCTCATCTGTTCTATTTGGTTATGACTGGTAAAAACTAATTCAAGTTTAAATAGGTGACTATGCAGCTCTTTCAAAATGTTCAGCAATATCAAAATGCAGATAGTTTGTAGGATTAAGATTTAAGTCTGAAATCTAATCCAGACTCAGAATAGTTCGTATTTGTCATTGACTAACAGTAGTTCGCTCTGCTTTGCTATCACCATTACCATACTACATGGGTTTTATCTTAATCTTTGTTGTTTCCCACCAAAGCAAGGAAGATTTAAAAGGACAAAGTTGTGAAAACCTCATGAAGAGCCAAATCAGCATTTCGCTCAGACTTATAGCTCTTATTTAAAAGTTGCCTAGAGGGGAAGATGCTCATCTCCCACTAGGAAGGTTGAGAGTTCAATCCTAGGCAGCGACAAATGTTTCTCTATTAGGATATAAAGTGTAAATATCTGCTAAGAACTCCACATAGGTGTCAGGAAGGACATTTGGCCAGTAAACACTCAGCTCTATTCAGTCACCCTGATTCCACACGATAAAAAGGGATTACAGGGTCGTAAAAAGAAAAAATAAAATAAAAACTACCATACTACGTTACTAGAACAAAAATATTTGTTTAAAAAAAGTAATTTCATATAAATAGCATATTTACAAAAAAAATAAATAAATACAGTTAAATCACTTGATCTTTCAAATGTTGTGTGCATTCTTAAATCCCAAATAGCTACTCAAACAAGCTGCAGAATGGAAACTACAGGCAAAAATGCTGAAGGAACAAGATACTGTTCTCCGGGCTCAGGTAAAATAAGGCCCTTGTTTCTATTATGTACTTTTTCAGCTAGCCATGCTCACCATATTAGATGTGTAAAAGTGGATAAAATGTTGTAAAACTTATCTATGTTCAAACCCCATTTAAGCATATTCCCTGGAAAAAGAACAGGGTAGCATGCATGCATTAGATTAAATCAGGGGTCTTCCAACTTGGCCCTTTTATGACATGTGGACTTCAACTCCCAGAATTCCTCAGCCAGCATGCCTGGCTGAGGAATTCTGGGAGTTGAAGTCCACATGTCATAAAAGGGCCAAGTTGGAAGGGCCCTCAATTAAATCCTTATGAATTACTAGAGTGGAGCAATCCATATCTTTAATTGGAAATATTACCATACAGTGTTCTATTATAATTTATCACATGGTAAGAGATAGGAAGAATTAACAATATTGATTTGTGATGGCTAGAAATAGAAAAGTATAATCAGTGCTAATCAAATAGTGTTTAATTATTTTAATAGTTAATAGTTTTTAATTATTTTTATCTTGTATTGATAAAAAAAATATTTTAGCATAACCTTTCCCATGTTAATACAGGTAATCCTTGACTTACAACTAATTGTTTAATGATGTTTCAGAGTTACAATAGTGCTAAAAAAATCACTTACAACCTGTCCTCAAAGTTACGACCATTGTATAACCCAGCAGTCATGTGATCACATTAACACCAGTTGCAGTGTCCTACGGTCATGTGATCGCAATTTGGAAACTTCCCAGCCAGCTTCTGACAAGCAAAATCAATGGGGAAAGCTGGAGTTGCTTAACGAACGTGATTCACTTCATGACCACATGGCTCACTTTACAACCACACAGATTTCTTTAGCAACCGCACTAAAAATGGCCGTAAAATCTGGTCCAGTCACTGATGACTTGCTTAAGAACCACATCACTCAGTGACTGAAATTCTGATCCCAATGGTCATAAATTGTATCGCTGTACCTGTAATGTTGTGTTGAATTTATTTCATTTCACTTCCAGCTAAAGTTTGGGAAGTTGCAGTCTAATTAACCTGGAATTGAGAAAAATTGGAGAAATTTGGCTTCTTATTTTTCTTATTTTCTTCCATCATCTATTCCTTTTTATTTTAAAAATATTTTCTCTTTAAAAAAAGATTCAAAGCCAGCATACATTCCTCTTTGTTTCGTGTTTAGAATGTTTTTACCCTTTTTTAATCATCCATTTTTATTATCAAGGAGTATATTAAATATATGGAATCAGCAACAAGAATTTAATGTTAACCTGTACTAGATCAGGTACAGCTGCAGAGGTCAAAGAGGAATTGAAATTTTGCAATGTTATAACTCAATGTCAAACTCAATTTCATTGAGGGCCGCATCAGCATTGCGGTTGCCCTCAGGGGGGCTGGGTGGGTGTGGCCACGGTGGGTGCAGCCTACTGGGTGGGCATGGATGGAGTGCGTGTGCCCTACTGGGTGGGCATGGCCAGCTCTACATCGTTTGCGTCAAGGGTGCCTGTGGGAGCCTGGGCAGGAGTGGAACAGATCTGAGGGTTTCTGGCAGAAGGGGGTGGTCCATTTCTTCATTTCTCACAAAGGGTGGGGCCGATGCGGCAGGGGCTAGTTCCTCGCTGTTTTTAGACGGCTTTGTGGAGCTAAGACTGAATGCATTTTAGCATAGATGGCCACCACAAAATTGTACATTGGCTCCCAGCCGGCCTGGGCCAGGGCCAAGGCAGTGGGGGCTGTTCTCTCACTGTTTCCAGGATGGCTTAGCGGGCCACATGAAACCACTTTGCGGGCCGCATCCAACCCCCGGGCCTTGTGTTTGACATGTCTGTTATAAACCATCAAGAATGGTTGAGTATTTGAAGCTGGGTTTTGTCCAAGGTACGAAAAACAGTGAAAAGAAAAATATTTTGTCCTAATTACAAATGTTATCTCCCAATATTCGTATAGCTAAACCAGTGGGATTATCTATATCTGTTTAGCATTTAGGGACATTTAAGGACTAGCAGTTTGCGATTTTGAACATCTGATATAGTGAAATTGTTAGGAAACTGTTCTTTATGTCGTGTTGATCATTTTAGACATTGGATTCCTTTATCCCAATACTAGCACCCTCACTTACCTGAGTCAGCAGGGCAGGGACAGGCAACCTATGGCACTCCTGTTTATTGCTGAAGTGCAAATATCCTGGAGAAACATGAGGAATTCTGGGAGCTGATAACCTAAAGATAATTGTGAGGAATTCTGGGAGTTAAAGTTTAGCAAATGCATCTGAAATGCCTACAAGCTGCCATAATTTCCTAATTCTTTGGAAGGGAAAACTTTCTTTAATGAACCTGCGTAATATAACTTCCTTTAGGATCCAAGCTCAATTCTCCCACTCCTTATACCGTATCCCCATTTTTCAGGAACATCTTGATTTTCCAGACGCTTTGAAGATGGCAGAGGATGGAAAAGTCTTCTTCTGCAAACTCTTTTTAAAATACCTTAAATTCCAAGCTAAAAGTTTCATCTTATTACCTTTCTGCGATCTTTTGAATTGAACTGAATTGAATGCTAATTATTGTGCAATGGTGAGTGTAATTGAGCACGTTTTTTTTCCTTCCTTTGAATGCAGCTGACCCTCTACTCTGAACGATTTGAAGAATTTCAGAAAACGCTAACAAACAGCAATGAAGTGTTTGCCAACTTTAAGCAAGAAATGGACAAGGTGGGTTATACATTGCATTCCAACTCTACACTTTCCATGTTGTTAAAGGATACCACTGAATGTCTTTTGGGTTGATTTCGTTTGGTTTACAAGGTTTCCCAACCAATTTTTGTTTATAAAAGTTTATAAACTTCTCTATTGATAATTTGAGGATGTGTTGTATCCTAGATTACTCTATCAAGTTTCCAGATATTTAGATCCGTTCATTTATTAGCTTTTGAGGAATGAAATCTTGGGTTTTGGTTGGTTGATTTCTTCAGTAAAGAACATAACATAGGGCTGGAGCTTTCAGGGTTTTAGAAACCACTAAGCAATAAATAAATAGTTCAGTCATGTGTAGACTGGGAGTAACTATTATGTAGCCTACGGCAGTTTCCAGTCCCTTCATTGATCCTTCAGAGTTCTCCAACAGCCCTGAAATAGTGACAATTGATGGTACAATTTTCTTCATGTTTTAGAAAGGAATGTTTATTTTTAAAAAGCCCTATAAGGATATGTCTATGGAGATTCTCAGTCATCCAGGTCATAGTTGTCCCAAAGGTGCTTTTTCAGGAGGCAACTGGATTTTCTTTTTTGTCTTTGAAGACGTTTCACTTCTCAACCAAGAAACTTCTTCAGCTCTGACTGCACATTCCCTTCCATCCTCCCATTCCCCACCATCCAGTCAGAGCTGAAGAAGCTTCTTGGATGAGAAGTGAAACGTCTTCAAAGAGAAAAAAGAAAGTCCAGTTGCCTCCTGAAAAAGCATCTTTGGGCCCTATAAGGATAGAAACAAAGTTCTGTCCTAGCCATTTCTGATAGTATCAGTGTGGTACAATTTTGCAAACTTGGAGTTTGCAGCATAATAGGAAAATGTCCACGTTAAAGCCCTAAAAGGTTCATCTTGTAAACATTAAGGCCATTTGTATTATTATGATTGATTTGCAAAACATAGGACTCTGAACTTCACATTAGCCATAATAAAAAGTGTATTTATAAACACAACTTCCTATTTTGTTGTATTTTGTACTGCCATCCTTTTAGCTCTCTTGCTTTGTTATCTTCTTGTAAGCATTTTCATTTAGAGAAATGGAAAGTCCGTGAAGTTCTTAGATATCATGTTTTATCAAACTGTGAAAGAAATCCTACAGCTAGGAGCCAGAAACCATGTTTTAAAAAGTTCAGGAAAGAGTAATCAGATGATAGAAGCATTAATTCACTTGGTTAAGTTTATAACAATTCAGAATGTTGTTAATGGAGTAGAATTAAGTAGTATTAAATTGAAGAACAGATTCTTATGAAAAATGTTCCATGCTTATGTCAGCCCTACAATTTATTTAAGAAGCTGACAATAGGCATGCTTTACATTTACTCACTGCTTGGAATTATCCACAAAGTCACCATTAAGTTGCCATTGTATTATTCATTTATATATATAAAAAAGATGGAAAACATGTATAAATTGATGGTGTTATTGCAACAGCATTCTATTTTTGCTAGCCTAACATGAAAAAAATCAAGTGTATACATATGCTTATGTTTTGTAATATTACATATAGATTGATATTTATTCTGAGGATCTCCAGAAAGGGGAAAAACAGCAAAGATATCAGTTTTATAGTTCTTTGTATGTATTATTCACCTTTGATTTTCCTGATGGATATTTTTAACATGTCTAACGTGGATTTAAAAATCTTTGCACAAACATTGAACCATTCCATCTCTATAATATGACAAGTGATCACAGAAGTCAAAATGAGAATGAATGTAAGGCAGTGGTTCTCAACCTTTCTAATGCCGTGACCCCATAATACAGTTCCCCATGTTGTGGTGACCCACAACATGGCCACCAATAAGAGGGAGTAGGACAGCTAGGGAAAAGGGAAAAAAATGGCAGACAGCATGATTTGGCGACCCCCATGAAATGGTCGTTCGACCCCAAATGGGGTCCCGACCCACAGGTTGAGAACCACTGATGTAAAGGCTGACATCAACACTCATTTACATACTTTTTGGATAAGAAAGCATAGATTTAAATCCTAAGGTACAATTCCAGGAAGAAGACAGCAAAGTTCATTTGCATACTGTACTTTTGGATATGAATTCAGGAAGAGGTTTCCTACCACTCTTCTCTCATCTCTGTAGAAAAAGGATCTCTGCAACATGCAAACAGCTTAAGGCAGGGGTTCTCAACCTTGGCAACTTTAAGACTGGTGGACTTCAACTCCCAGAATTCCTCAGCCAGCTTTGCTGGCTGAGGAATTCTGGGAATTGAAGTCCACAAGTCTTAAAGTTGCCAAGGTTGAGAACCCCTGCCTTAAGGTGACCCCTTTATTCAAGTCCTCGTGCAGTTGCTTCCAACTGTTGTAGACTGCTAATTTACATTATTTTAATCAATTAGTTTTCTGATGGTGGTTCCTATCTTGATTTTTCAAAATAAATGGTTTTCGTTATAGACCATTTTGTGACTCTTAGATGAAGGTATAGAAATGTAAAAAATATAATTATGATATAAGGGAACATGGGGGCTGACCAATTTGGGTGATTTTCCCCTTCCCTCTGTGGCAGATTGTCCCACTCCCCAGTCTGTATTTTCAGGAAGGAAAGTCATGCAATATTCCCAAAAATATGGTGTAGCATAAGTTGCTAGATGGGATGGTCAACTACTTTTTCCAGGACTAAAGAAAGCATTGTTGAAAGAATTATAGATAGAATAAGAAATAACAAAACAAGTATACAGAAGCAAGGAAAGAGAATAATAAAAATATGAGTATTTATACAATTTAGGTTTTGGTAGGCAGGATAATTTCTGAAATATTCCCCATCTCTAATATTTTTTTTTTCAGTCCAGTCACTCAAATGGGGAATATGTAGTAGAATCTCAATATATCCACCAACATTTTACCATTTTACTGTTTTCTCTTCACGGTTGATATGTCTGTCTACACATGAAGTGTGCCTGTCCACTGATGAAGTAGTATCCACCAGCTGAATGGATAACTCCCTTTATGTGTTTCCCAGTCTCAGAGAATTGAAGAATACTATATCAAACCTAAGCAGCATATAGAGCAGTGGTTCTCAACCTTTTTAATGCCGCGACCCCCAATCGGTCATTAAGTCGAGGACTACTCAACCGGTCATAAGTCGAGGACTACTCAACTGGTGCAGCACCATTTGCAGAATGGGACTTTTGGCGGGCTCAGCAGGGCAGAGACAGCCTGGACAATTCCTATTGGCTTTTGAAAGCCAATTCAAGAGAGTCTATTCTGTTGGCTTTCAAAAGCCAATAGAATAAAAGGGAGTAGCACAGCTAAGGAAAAGGGGGAAAAAATGGCGGACTGCGTTGTTTGGCGACCCCTGTGAAATGGTCGTTCGACCCCAAATGGGGTCCCGACCCACAGGTTGAGAACCACTGATATAGAAAGGAAGCTTAAGTACATGAATAAGTACACTCACACAACATTGGATATAACCCCTTAGGTTTGGACTAGTATCTTTGAGAGTAATAATTGGGAACCATCTATAAATCTACAATTCTCATACAAAATCCATTAAATTAATTTGGAGGTTGTGTGAGCATTTAATTAGCTTACGCAGCCCTATGGTAAGCCATTTAGGAAAAAGTCAAGTTTAACTTTCCTGCTCTGTCCACTAGATTTTTATTTTTCTCACAGATGACAAAGAAAATGAAAAAACTGGAAAAGGATACAGCCACATGGAAAGCAAGGTTTGAGAACTGTAACAGAGCTTTACTGGACATGATTGAAGAGGTATGAAACAAATTTTAAAATCAGTTGTATATAAAAGCCATATAATCTTGTTAATTAAAATGTTCTTAATGGAGCCATGACATCACTATTACTGGAAAGATTTCCAATACTGTTCATACTTTCTTGTTTGCTTAGTGGCAATTAATAAACGAAGTAACAGAATAGAGTTATGTAAGCTCTTGTTGCATGTGGGAAATGAAATGATAAAATTAAAGAAATCTGAAATTTGGAGTCACGCTTTAATTCAGAGGCAATCCAGCTGTCAGCATGCATGGCCACTGGATAACCTTTGCACAATCCAATTATCCCATTTGCATTTTTCACTGCGCAAGTTGGCAAAATATTTTTTGAAAAAAGACTTTTAACATGATTTAAATGCAATAATAGAATGACTTGGGCGGGCTTCATGCATTGCAGAAGTGAAAGGCTAACAGCAACATAATTTGTAATAATTTGTAATTTCCCAATTTCCCTTTTGGCGCACACCCTTTCGCATCCTGCAAGCTAAAATTAGCATATCTAAGAAGTCTTAGCTGGTTCTACAGATTTGCATGAATTGAATGTAAAATCTCGGGGCATAAAAGGTCCAGAATACTATAAAGTTTGCAGAAATGGCAAGCCAATGGTAGGACCTTGAGGTTACCTTTTAAGTATTATTTGGACAAGCAAACAAAAAAAGGAGGAGAGATTCGTCTGGCCATTTAGATTCTCTTTTGTCGTATATCAGCTTGGCAGCCTTCAAATGTTTTCCTTTTTTTACTCTATCACAGAAATCTATGAGGGCCAAGGAATATGAATGTTTTGTAGTGAAAATTCAAAGACTAGAAAATCTTTGCAGAGCTCTGCAGGAGGAACGGAACGTATTGTACAAAAAAATAAAAGAAGCACAATTCCCTGAAGAGAACAAAGAGGAGGAGGCAGAAGAAGATGAGGAGGAGGAAGAACAGCAAGCTGGGGTGGAGGATAGTCTGGAGAATAAGACTACAGCTACAAGTCAGGCTATTGATGAGCCATCTGCCACCAGTGAAATTATCCCCAAAGATTTGGCTACAGCTTTCATGGTGTCTCATGTGAATATGCCTATGATCCCAACCAATGAAGAAAAAGTAGAAGAACTACATGAGCCCCAAGTAAGTGACCCAATTTCTCCTCCTGAGATGATATTGGCTTCTTGCAAGCCACAAGGCAACCAGGATTGCTGTATTGATCCAACATCCATGCCCAAAGCAGAGGAACCAGAAGGGGACACAGTAAAACTTGGTCCAGATCATCCAGTGTTGAAGCTCTCAAATGCTGACATGGAAGATGTTGATTAGCATGATATAATGCATATAATGCTATAATGCATTTCCCCCCCCCCAAATGACATTCTCCAATCCTTTCCTAAACATTTCTGTCTTTCATAATAAGATGGCTTTACAAGTGTTTTCAAACCTGCTTCAATTTCATAGAATACAGGTTGCTGTATCCCATGATTACTGGTGGTGTTTGAATTTGCTTTGTTTCTCATTCAGGTAAATCCAATAGCTTCTCGTAACATTTAGCAGAATTAAGAGTCTTGATTTCCAATGGAACTTTTACAATATGGATAGGTCCTCCTATGGGAAGCCTACTTTCAAAATGCCCCAAATAAATTAAATAAACAAATAGTTGGGAAAAGGAAGAGCTTGGTGTGCTTGGTGTGGTTTGCATATAAGGTTACATCTCTAGTCATAAAATATAACTTGAAAAATAAACTAACTTTGGAAATCTTTCAGGATACAGTGCAAGAACAGGTAGCCCTCAGACTTGGGCATGGCATTTAATTTTTGCTTTCAAAAATTAGGTGTTCCTTTTGCAGTTAATTCTTTTGTTGTTATAAAATATGCAAAATTGCCTACCTCTCTTCCTATACCAGGGACTGGTTTCATAGAAGACAATTAGTTCATGGATGGGGGGGGGTTGATTTCAATCTCTCACTCTCCTGCCGCTCACCCCCAGCTGTGTGGCCCAGTTCCTAACAGGCCAATGACCGGTATGGTCCAAGGTCCAAGGTTGGGGACCCATTCTGCATTCATATTTTGAGTTTTATATTACAAACAATTTGTCTTATTTAAAAAAAATATTATTCAAACATGTACCTAGGTTTGTTATTGGATCCTCCTGAATTAAACAATGATTCAGTATGTTAGGTAGACTATATGATTTTATGCCTATCAATTGAATTTACATGTTTTTTAAACACTGCACCACATCTGAGGAATTTTAGCCTACTTTCAATAATAAGATTTTCATTTCTAACCTCCTTAGTATTTTGAACATTGCCTTAATAGTATCCATTCACTGAGTTTTGTCTTGTTTTTTGCTGTTTCTTTTATTAGACGATAGCTCACATTTCTAAAACAAGTTATCAGATGTGAATATTTTTATGTGAACTATAAATGTGAATTAGGCCTAATAACGATCAGATTCTTCAAAACACTTGAGAGATATTATCTCAGTAATCTGAAGAACCATCTGAAAAATAGTTGCTAATCATCTACCTACATTACCACCTGTATTGAACAGATTCAAATTATAGACTACTCCAGAAACAATTTCACAGTAGGAATCCCTCAGCATTAGACATTAGAAAATCTCTGTGAAGATCTCTATACCATTATACTGTACTGTATAATTTATTGTGATTGCACTTTAGAGAGTGGGAGAGCAGGTTGGTCTCCAAACCAATTTAAAAATACTAGAAATGACTACAAAGGCAAAACAGAAAGAAGTGTTACATATAAGAGCAAAAATGTCAGGCCTTTGATCCCATAGCCCCACCCAAACAGGCAGTGTCTGTAAGACAAGCCAAATGAATAATTAATAAATAGCAAGTCTATACCGGAGATCTTCATTGAAATGACACATCTATATCAGGCAGAAATGAGAGGCAAGCTTGTAGTGAGATGCAAAGATATGTTTTGAAAACCCCTGACAGATCCAGATTAATAGCTAGATGTTTCTAGGCGGGGCTATTACAAATAGGATTCGGCTACAAGATGGTTTTTGAAGTATCCTGTTTGAGTGGTCAATTTCCTGGATATCTCATAAATTTCCTTAGTAATCCTTATGGAAACATAAAATTAATGTATTTGAAGGCAATGAACAGACAGAAATAGGGTTTCCACATATTCAATACTTCTCACTTTTTAAAGCCATAAATACTAAAAGGCTGGTGCACACACAGCAACAACTACAACTTTATCCACTGTACTTACAGATCAAGGATTTCAAGCAACCGGGAAAAGCCTGTGCCCAAACCGATAATCACAATTATTTTTCAGTTTCTACATGACGTTAAGGAACCAAATGAACTTTACTTGCCGTTTTATACAACTTATAAGGGGTTGGGTTGTTTTGGGATACAGATAGTCCTCCACTTAGAACCGGTCACTTAGTGACCATTCAAAGTTACAACAGATCCCCCAAAAGGGATCACAGGATTCAAAGTTCTGACATCTGTCCTCAATCATGTACATTTTGAGCACTCGATAACCAGCCTGCTTTCATGGCTGTTTGCAAACATGTAAAATTGCAACGTGACTGCAATTTTACATTTTTGCTGGAAGCCACCATTTATTTCAGATTCCTGGCAAAAAAAAACACCTTGTAGTGAACAATGGGTTTGTTTAACAATCACGTGTTTGCTTTATAACCACACTTGCTTAAAAACCACCACAAAAAAGGTCATAAAATCTGGTGGTCGTGTGGTGACCCACTTTACAACCATCACTGAAATTCCGGGTTCAATTAGTCATAAATCAAGAACTTGTAACTTTTTTTTTCAAATATTTTAAAAAATAATGTAAAATTTGCTATTACTAAGGAAACTCTAGAAACCTTAGGTATATGATATAAATGGATAATAGCTGATCAAAAGGGACTGTTGGCTAGTATTTTAGATCATTATCCTAAGAAGCTGCTAAGGAATGAAAGATGTATAGAACTCTGACAACAGATTCAGCTTTCCATTTAAATCCAGACCTCTTTCTTCAAATAATTCCAACTACATTTTATGCAGTCTGAGCTTCACACTCGTTTCCTTCCAGCATCACCATCCATGCTCTTATCCGGGCAGTTTTCTTTTAAAAATGGCCCACTGTTAATATGGAATACCTCTTCATACCTCTTTATTTATTTTAAATCTCTGATATAGAAACAAACAAAAGATTATTCCTCCATATTGCTGTTGCCTACTTCCAGGAGCTAGTGGCCCAAAATAATGAACCCTATTTAAAGAAGGAAGCAACTTTCATAAGCAAGTTTGCAACCTGAATCTTAGAAGCCAAGTGACATCTTATTTGTTTTTTTTTGAAGGAGTGAAGGATTCAGCAAACAAACTAAGTAGTGCTTTCAAACCCTAGTGTCAATCAAGAAATCATTATGAAATGTCCCAGCAAGAGGACATGAAATGTCCTCTGAAAGAGCCTATTCCATTTCAGGACAATACATTCTTGACTGCTTCATGTTCACGTTTAGATATAATGACAGAGATCAGAATGTATTTCACTGAAATGCTCCTAACAGATATATATAGATGGTATATTCTCCTTTATGCTCCTAACAGATATATATAGATGGTATATTCTCCTTTAGTGCAGAAGGTGATCCAAAAGTAAGACTTTCCAGAACAATCTCAATGGATAGAAACAAATCTTGGGATTAATATCCATTAAAGATGTTCTATCAAATGAGACTCTGGCACAGAAATCCCATTTAATTTTTAATATCAAACTAATTATGATCAAATTAATTATGATAGACTGCAGACATCCGCCAGTAAAACCCTTATATTATTGGTGACTAAAAAGGACCATAAGCTCTCCCTGAAAAAGGACTGAAACCCATTTTATTAATGCATATCCATATATGGTGTCAGAAACAACATAGCAATCTATAGTGGCATCCTAGAAAGTAACAAAGAGGTAATTTGGTTAAGCAAACCTTGTCTGTGCCATCTCTTTAATTTTGGTGTGCACCCCGTCTAAGAATTTGTCATCAAGTCTCAACCACGTTTTGCGATGGTTATAAGGGCTTTCATATTGTTGTTGCCAGAAATATATATATTCATTTAATTGGCTACTTGTTTCAGATTTAGCAACAGCATCAACTGGAGAAATCATGAAAGACTTCTTGTTTTATTCATGAGATAGAGTCCCTGAAACAATTGGACTCTTGAATCTTGTCACATCAGAGAATCAGAATCAAAGGTAGCCATTCAGTTCAACCCTGTTCAATGCAAAAATGCAAATTAAAGCTTCCAAGACACAATGCTGCCACTTGAATGCATTCAGTGAAGAGCTGCCTACTCCTTTTCAGGGTTCTATTGTTGAACTTTAAATAATAGATTTTCCCTCTATCATTTAATAGAAATCTGCCTCCCTTCTAGTTAAACATATTATCCCAGATACTGCGCTCTGAAAAAACTGGGAAAAGACAATCTCTTTTGGGTGAAAGATTAACGAGTTATTTCAAAAGTGATGAACGCTTTGCCTTTTTTACTTTTGCAAGGCTAAATATGTCCAGTTCTTTCAGTTGATCATCAGAGATCAGAGTGAGTCAGAGTTCCACTAATAAAATAGAAGGGCTGGGTAAGACCTATTGTTGGTGAGACTTATTTCATACCTGTTGCCTTGGCTGTTTGGCTTCCTGAATGAGGTACTCCAGGTGTGATTTCAGATGCTGTAGTAGATGCAGCGGTGTTAAACTGCCAGCCGGCAGGCCGGATGCATCATGCCGAAACCGCATCCACCCCACTGCCAGCAATGGAAAAAAAGTTGTGATATGTCACGACACGTCACGTGACATTACAAGTTTGATACCCCTGCTGTAGTATATAGAGTTCTTGTGTGACTGAAACGCTCAAGTTTGCTGGCTGGGGAAGTCTGGGAGTTGAAGTCCACAAGTCTTCAAGTTGGACACCTCTCCTCTAAAGCCTACCAGTGTTCAGAAACTGACCAATATTGCAAAGGTCTCTCAGGCCTTAATGTGAATCTGGGCTGACAAAGCCACTCTGGACTCTTTGCAGTTCAATTCTGCTTGGTGCTGAATCTTATCTTAAAGTAAGAACAGGGCCCTGCATTTTCATGGTGACAACAGACACTGAAGTGACCCTCATGTTATTTCTATCATTATCTTACTGCAGAAATTATCTGCAGGATGCTTTGCACAGGCCTCTTACATACAGTGCTGTGAACCTTTATCTGGACTAGTTTAAAACAGCCAGAAACATAATCCACCACAATTTATTATTTTAATACAGATAAATCACAACCCCAAAATGGCATCACAACCAATTGTTTTAAAGTTTGTCAACATTCATTTGCTATGTACATATTTTTACCCTGCAAAATGCAATCTAAAACTTTTTTCCCTTTTTGAGGAAAATAGGCTTTTACTGACAAAACGCAAACAGGGTAAGCTGGATACCTCACAATAATTTGCCCTTGCATACCTCGTACAATTAAATCAGAAGAAAATTAAATTTGCTACATGTCTTCCTATCAAGAGCACACTGACAGAATCACCTGTTGCCTCAAATCTGGCTTTCAGGAATTCACTCACTTAAAATGATCAAATAAGCATCAGTCATACACTCTCATGTGCACTTAATGTTTTTAAATGGAGTTAACAAAGCCTGTGTTTGTTTGTGATCAAAGATTCTATCAAGCTGAACTGTAACACTATAAGATTCTGCTGTTTTTTTTAGGAACATATGTTTTTCTTTTTCTTCATGAAGGGTGGGGAAATGCAGGATTAACATTTAATATCTTCATTTTGTTATTTGTATGTGGAGGTGTGGTTACCCACATGGCACAAATTTCTGCCATCAGGTTATCAAATATAAATGCCACAGTAAATAAAAAGTTCTATCAAGTTTGAGAAAGATCATTTGGACACAGGAAAAAAATTCAATAGATGGTCTTTCAATGTGTACCTGTTAAAAAAAAAAGAAAAACAATTCACAGATATAATATAATGTTATGGTGGAAAGAAATTTCTGCCAGATGCAGTACAGCAGTGTTTCCCAAACTTGACAATTTTAAGGCATGTGGACTTCAATTCCCAGAATTCCACCGCCAGCATAGCTGGCGGTGGAATTCTGGGAGTTGAAGTCCTCATGCCTTAAAATTGTCAAGTTTGGGAAACACTGCAGTACAGGATACATCTCTCAGCAAAGTGAAATGGCTATATATGTAAATGCACGTGGAGGCATTAAATGGCAGTTTCTAAAACAACTGTGGGAACTTAGAAAAAAATGCAGTTGCTTTAACAGTTCAAAGAAAGCTATTCTGTTTACTCTCTAGCCCGCTGTGACGATCCTCTTTCGAAGTATTTGTACAACCCTATTTTATATGGTATTGCATTATAGGCAATCATCAAGAAAGTTGAATTAATTCAAATTAATAAAAGCAAATAAATGCTTTTCGCTAATGAAACTGAATGCTCTTTTTTGTGCAATTCATTCAATTTAGTTCCTACCTTTTCAATGTCTTGATTATGTATCATTTAAGATTAATTGCACTTCTGCGAATATCTTTTTAAAATGGCCATACATACAACGTATATTTGTGGAGACATAATTTGAGCAGATGGTGAAATATAACCAACACATCCCATAGAACCCAATTTTCATACTGCCAGCTTCAATGAATACATGAAGTCCTCTAGAAGCAAAAATTGCCTCATTTTCTTTAGTATTGAAGGATACTAAATATCTACAGGGGAATTGTGCACAAGAAACCATCTCTCTGTCTTTGTCTCGCTCTTACACACACACCCAACACATGCTCAAGACTGTATGCGTTTTCTAAACTACAAACATCATACTTATTTGGCTTATATTGTTCTTGGTCTTGATATCTGTAATTTTGGGTTTTGATTACTGTGCTGCTACTCTGTTTTTAGTACTACTCTCCTAAAATTTTGAATGACCAAGTTGATGAATACAGTACTTCCTGTTAACCTAAAAAACTTGATGGCTATGGATATGAGCTTTCCTGGCAATCCACACTGAGTAGAGAGAAGTAGTGATAGCCCCTGTGAAATTTGTTACCGAGTAATGCCTGACATATTTAACATTGTGTTCCATGCATACAGGTTGCGGGTAATGCACATAAATATGAGTTCATGGCCTCTATCATTCCAGTATAATTTAATATCAATCAAATATATCAATTAGGAAGGAACTCTATGCCTCAGGGAGTAACACATATACAACTGTCAATGTTCATATCTTTACATGGTGACGGGAAAGAGCAACATGATTTGTAATCCAAATGAAATGCTAAATTGTACACGGCATGCAAATTAGAAAATAAACAGTAACAGAAATGCCTCAATATAAAAGTCCAATTGAGTTGAAAAGTAAAATACTTCACTACAGTTCCCCTCTCTTGAATAATTACAACAATGTTAACAATAAATGTTTTTGGAAATTAGAATCCAAATATTTCAAATTCATATGCAAGCTATGAAAACAGTTTGACAGTCTTGCAGGGTTGAAAGAAAACATAGTTCATCAGACCATGTATTATTGGATATCCATTTTATTATACTTTTGAAACATGTGTGTCTTTTCATTCATGCCTGCCATGATCCCAATGCATTTTCTTTTCAATAGATTATTTTTGCTACACAATGTTTATTATCCAGTACAAAGTTTGGAGTGATTAGATCCACCAAAACTCTACAGAGCTTACACACACTAGAACAATGTTCCCCCAAATAACACTCTTCAGATAGGCTGAAACTAGTATTCCCAATTCTGCAAGTTACAGACCCAACACTGGAAACTACAAAGTAGAGAAAATTGCACTTAAAAATTGCAATTATTTCTCTGTATAATTTTTTTTTCAGGGCTACTTGATGGAAGTTGCATCATGTTGAAGAACTGCTAATCTTCCCTCTCATCCAAATTACTTCTTCCCCCAGAGCTGTTTTGAGCTAAGTAGCCCAGAACAGCCATCCAAATTATAACCGAATGTTGTTGTTGCTACATTTCACAACAACTCTGGAAAAGAAAAGAGGTTTATACTGCCCACGCTGACCCATCACATCATTGCAACAGACTCCAAATTATCACATGCAATATCCATAAAAATCTAAAATAAAATTATATTGCAAATTCCTATCACAAATTTCTGATGTGACAGCTCATTTGCTCCTTAGTGCTGATCTACAGAAATTACATTTACCTGCTCATCTTTGGAAATAATGTTATGATTATAGTTCAGTAAAAACATTCCATTTTCAAGTAGATCATTTGTCTCTAATGTTGAAGAATTTGTGCTGAAAAACCAAATACTTAAGACTACCAAATTTCAAAAGACTCAGCATTCACTTTTAACAAAAACTTTGCACATGTACAGAAAAAGTAACTACAATACTGATAAAAGAACAATAATCACAAAACAATTACTTTGTTCTTAAATTTCTTCAGCTTTGATTTTGTATCTCTGAGGAGTGCAAAAAAGAATAATTTCAATTATTTCACTTTTTAATTTCTCATACATTAAAAGTTTTAAAAATTAAGTAAAAGTGCCATTTCAAAATAGGTACCAAAAGTGGGTTTAACCTGTTTCAGTATGACTTAATTCAAGCTAGGTTTCAAAAGACATAAAATGAATTCCACAAGTCATGGGGCACAATGCACCCCACATGATAACATGTATCCAAAACAGCAGGGAGGTTCAAAATATTGAGGTCTATTATTCAACAAAATAGTGTAAGCCAGGGGTCTCCAACCTCCAGTACATGGACCAGCACCGGTCCGCAGCATGCCAGCAAATGGGCTGCACAAACAAGCAAAGCTCCATCCTTGGGATGCAGGCAGTATTCAAAACCACATACCCCTCTGGTCCACGGAAATTTTTTTCTTATGGCACCGGTCCCTGGTGTCCAAAAGGTTGGGGACCTCTGGTGTAAGCCAATTACTAAGGTCTTTAGCAATTCTTTTGAACCTTAAATATGCTAGTCTTTTAATTGATTCCTTGCCTGTTTATACACAAGCCCATATCTGCACACATAAACTTGGGAGTATTTCTGCAGAAATTTTTCAAAATGATATGTGAACAACTAATAAAAACTGTTCTATAAACACCATTTAGTTTTAGAGAACACTTTTGAAATACTGTAAAGAAATTATTAGATATTTCAACCTATAGGAAAATTAATTCACAGGTAGGCACACTAATCTATCATCCTTCATTTACTTTGAACATCGTTTACTATAACTGTACCAAGAGACAAGGGTTAATCACAATGAAAAAACCAGCAACATTAAGTTGCAGATACCTCTCTTGATAATAGATTTTGTAATGAGTTTTGCTGTATTACTGAACACCCTAAGGTGACTTTAAAATGCTCGAGAAAAGCTCAAATAACACAACTTATTAAAATTGCAAGCTTGTTTTTTTTTCGTAGAAATTTCCCTGACTGTTTGAATTACAATGTTAATGGAAACAGCATGATCTGTCAGTGAGAGTAACTATGATTATCAAATATATATCCCAGGAAGACACTATGCAAAAATAAAACAATTTTAACCAGTGCATTTTCTGACATAGTATTACATTCATTTGTCAATGGTTAAGTTTATCTCAACAAACAGAGCCTCAAACTGTATTAACCAGCACTATTAATATTATCCTGATTTTGCTCCCAGGAATGATGTAAATTCATCATGGAGCAAAATATGAAGATAATCATTGGACAGAGGCACACAGAAGGAAAATGTCTTTGAAAAGCTGGCTGTACAACTATCCAGCATCCTTTCTTAGTTCATCTAAAATGTACAGCTAGGATCTGCATACAAACTTGAAGTCTCTAGATTATTATTAAGCAAGGGAGAGGTTATGACAATTTGTGATCCCATGGCACACCTCCCCTTGCTCTTCCATATGTTATATTAGGCCTTGAAATATATTAGAGTGCATGGAAAAAGGCAGTAATAATGGGAGTGCTGCTTAGCATGGAACCACTTTCTATTCTCCCAACATCATCAACATCTGCTAAGAGTCTCCCACTCTTCAGAACTGATTTTCAGAGCACACCCGAAGGCCTTAGGGATCACCTTATCACATAAGCAGAACTCTACTCCCATCATACTGGATTTCACTCTTCATCTGGGCAGACCTACAATTTTCTTTCTTCTACACATTTATGAAAATCTGTTCACCTCGCCAACCTACAACTTCTCCATATCTTGAAGTCACTCTGTTTCATTTAACAATAAAGGGAAGAAATAGAATGGAATTTTCTTCCCAAGCTGGGTGAATGTAGACAACTTTCCAGATGTGATGAAACATCTGTTTCAGAATACCCAGGCAGCATAATTCCAACACATCTGGAAAAGAGCTAGGATAATATGATATTTAGAGAGAGAGAAAAAGATGACGCTGCATCTCCAGCCTTCACTGAAATCATGGCAAGAGGACCTCTGTCTGAATGACACACATCTACACAGGAACACATGTACACAATCACGCAAAGCTGCTGCATTTCCTTTCAATTAGAAAAAAAGCCCCCCTCCCCTTCACAGAGCAGATCTTATAAAAGATATGTAAAATAAATGGAACAATACTCATAAAATAGCTATTACTATGGCAAAGCTTTTGTCAATAGGCCTCCAGAACTTTAAATGAAGAAAATGGCTTCACAAAATGATAGTCCAAGTTTCCACAGTGTGGACACTGCTGAACGTTGCTGTATTCTGAGAAATACTGCATCCCAATACGTACATCTATAACAGGTTTCCCACAGTGTTTACAGTTCAGCCGAGCCTATAATGAAGGAGAGACAGAGAAAAAAAGAACAGAATTTCAAAAATCTCATAATTGGCTTCCACTGTCCACCAAACCCTATCATGCCTCTGTTTGTTTTATTCTTACTGAATATGCTTTGTGATTTCACCTGATGGGCCAATTCTTACTACAGTTTGTACTTGGGAAAGCTTGCCTGAAAAATAAAGTGCGTAATATCAGTCTTCTATGTCTGTAGAATCAGCTATTAAGTTTCTTTGTAAATTAAGAAAAATGAATCAGTTACCTAGAGAGGATTGCTCTTTAAAATACCTACATTTTACGCATAGATTTCATCTCTAGGTACATCAGATAAAAATGGAAGGCAAGAATGAAATCTAGGAGGAGTTGATTGATGTTTTTGATGCATTGAATCTTAACGTCTGGCCAATATGACTCTGAAATATCGAAACTGTTCCTCTGGAGGGCATTTCCAGGAGATGGAACAGCATTGTACCACCAGGCTTCATCTTTATCTCTACGCACATTGAGATAATTAAAGTGCTATCTTCTCTATGTGTACCTGCAATTCCACTCTACATACTCTTCAATGAAGATATACAGGTCACAGATAACATACCCATAAATTCTTCTTAATCATTAGCTGCAGTGCTTGATAGACACATGGGCTTCTCCTCATGACTGTGAATGGGAGCCAGTACTGAAGGAAGGATATTGTTAGAAAGTGCCCAGCCAGGTAGGGGGAAGGCTCAAGCAGGGAATTAGCCTTGAATCATTACACAGCTAGAAGAGATCCAGAACTGACTCCCTTCACCTTGCCCTACAAGCTCCACAGAGCCTTAACTATCTGTTCCCAAAAGAAGGCAAGCAAGATTCCTGTATTATATAGGCAGAATACAATAAAGTAGTTAGCCTGAACTCTATCCATGTGGATCTAATTGCTTGCACCTGACAGGTATTGCTGGCAGTGCACTTATGAGCTATGTGCTTTTGGAAGAGAAACAGCATCCACCAGAGAGACATGAATGTATTCTCATCCATGAACTAGTGTCTAGACAGCTATCACTATATCCCGGAGGCTTGCCAAGACCGTAGAACATAATTTACTAAAATATGAACTCTTCATAATACTAACCTGACAACAAGGAGAGGCTGCTAGAATGTCGTAAGTATACATGGTTCCCAGCTGATGCCAGCTTCCATCCCACCGAGATTTGCACTTTATGCAGATAATTTTATGAACCCCTTCTAAACAGTCTACACAAACAGCATATAGGTGCATAAGCCTTCCTGTGGAGAGAGATTTGTAAAAACAGATTATATCAAATGTATCACAGAATTCACTCATTAACAACATTGTGAATGGCATTTTTATTAGAAAATGCAAGAAATGAAGCATGCATTCAGCAACCATTATGTTTCTAGCCATCTTCTGTGCAAATACCATTAAAGGGGAAAGTCTATTTTATTCAGAATTACATTTCTAACTTCAAATGCAAATTATTCTTTCATTATTAGTTTAATCTAATGCTGACAGTCCACAGTCAATCGATACTAGTTAGCTTCTAAATAGTGTTGTTGGAGTTTAGGTTGTAAAATTTAGTCTTTAAAAATTCAAAATTGATTTTTAATTAAACTACAAATTAACTGTACTAAAACTAACACATGATTAGGTATGAGCAGCTCATTTGTCACATCAGAATGAACAAGACAAGCATTCCAATTTTCAGTTCAACTAAGAAGCTTAACAAATAACTTTAGAGAATTACTTTTGTATTGCAGTTACTCTCAGCTGCATATCACATGCTTCAGAGAGGGGATGAGCTCTATGCTTCTTTAAATTCATAATAGATGTTTGCTTCATGTGCAAAGCAAAAGTAGAACCCACAGGTTAATTAGTCATCTCCATATATTTAATTTCCTTCCAGTTATTACTTCATAAAAATCTACAGTGTTTATACATTTGAATAAAAATCACATATATCTTTTTTTGGCAAAAGAATATATCCCACAAATTCTTTATGCAGAGAAGTCAGGAAAAACAGATTCTTCTCAACAGGAAATGCAGGCTTTTTCAAATCACAAAGTCCTTGCTCTAACTCAGTTTCATGAAAGAGTTCAAACTGCTACATGAATACATTTGCACACTCTGCATAAATATAGAAAAGATTTCAGTATGAAAGCAAGAAGGTAGAATTGTACCTATAGCAATTGTGCTTAACTCATAATATACAATACAGGAAAACAAACATCCTATGTATTTGTTTAGGGGAAGGTCTCCATTTCATGCATCTTTTCACCTGAAAAAATATCAGAAAATATGAAATAACTGTCTCATCAGAGATTGATACTGGCTGGCCCAATTTAGATACTAATCTGGATCTTATATGGTGATAATCCATAGTTTAGTTATTATTGGACCAAATCACAGTTCACAACTTATGATAAAGTTTACAAACTGACTGGATTAATAAAACAAATAAATGCATAGGTATATTGTATGTTTTGTTTGGTTTTAGCATAATATTGTGTGAGCCCAAACAACATTATTCTAATCTTTATAGGATAACTAAGAACAAGCTCATTATCCTTTCCCTTGGTTTATAAATCATCTCATCCTTTTTAACTTACAATAATTGTTTATTGAGTAAGCAATAGTAAATACTAATTTCCAAGCTAATTTTCAAAACTCTTTAAACTTCTTATTCCTTAACCCAGTTTATTCTCAACCCAATTTCATGTGACATCCGAATCAAGGGAGCTACAGTATACAAATTACCAGGTATGGAATGGAGGCAGGAATCACATGGAACCATAATGCAATGTGAATCTATAGTATTTTTGTACCCTTCAAACTATTATTTGTAACTACCTGATAGGGGAATTAGGTATCATTCTCCTCTGCCCAACAGCTGGGATCACCTACCTGTATAACCATTTAGCATGACTATATTCCAGTTCTTCATCTATTCTTACTCCTGTAATTTTTGCTTCTCTCCCTGCTAGATAAGTTGAGAAATAATTTTACAGACTCTCCCCTTATTGGTATATAGACAAATGTATATATTTATAAATTCAGGTAGTTGTATATATAAAGCATTTGTAATTAATTTGGAAAATTTCCTCAGGCCTTATTATTTTGCTTTTAAATTAAATTTCCCACGTTTAAGAGGGATCAGAATGGCTTCTTTAAATTCATACTGAGAAAGGATAGGGCTGCTAGATCTGGAGAGCAAGCAATCAGATTACCACTAGACCAGGGGTAGGCAACCTTGGCTCTTTTATGACTCGTGGACTTCAACTCCCAGAATTCCTGAGCTAGCCATAAAAGAGCCAAGGTTGCCTACCCCTGCACTAGACAAAAACAAAGAGGGTAACTTCCCAATTATATCTCCCAATGTTTGCAGTTCAGAACCAGAAGCATTAAATTATGCTCAAATGGGAATTTTTAAAGGATTCTTTAAGAATATGCATTTGGGAACTAAAGCCTCTGAATACCCAGAAGCCCCGAAATCCATATTTAAGCAACCTCAGGGTGATAAAATGAAAGACAGGTAGTCCCCGATTTACAATCATTCATTCCAAGTTACAATACCACTGAAAAGGTGACTTATGATTGGTCCTCACACTTAAGACCACTGCAGCATCCCAATGGTCACATGATCAACCTGTGGGTGTTTCGCAACCTGCATGAATTTATGACCGTTGCCTTGTCCAAGGGTCATTAGATCACCATTTGCAAAGTTTCCAGCTGCAAATCAAGGACTACCTCTATCCAAACACATTAATCTAACATCCAAAATATGTTTCTTGTAAGCAAATGCAAAAGGAGATAATTTAGAATACTGAAGAAATACAAAGATTTTCCCCCAGCAAATTTTTTCTGCGTAAATTCCAAAGTTGTGCCAGCAAATGTAAGCACATTATTATGGATCAGAAACATTGGCCACTGACAAAAAGAAAACAAAACAAGTTGAATTACCTACAGCACTTTTTTACACAATTTCTCTGCTACACACATATTCTTTGCTAAAAGTATATTCCTTCCGCAAAGTTATTTTCACCCAGAAGGGACAGTTGAAATTTTATTAAGCTTTTATTATGGCCTGTTGTACTTATACTAGCCTTCATCAATCTGAGCATCCTCACATTGTATGAATATTTCCATGCAAACATTTTTCAGCAATAGCCTTCCTGTCTGGGAATACAGAAATCCACACATTTGAGAATAATGCACAAAATGGAAAAGGCTAATGTAGACTGCCTTCCAAAAATGCAAGATATTAATAGACATTATAGACTTCAGTTATACAATTTAAGAAATGGCCAATAAATTTAATAAATAAATAAACAAATGAAACAAAAATAAAAGCAACCTGTACCTTGAAGGTGACAGGGAACATCATACTCAATTTCATCATGTCTTGATGGGCTAAGAAACAAGGTTCCATCCACCAGTGGAAACTGTTCAAATACAGGTAATGCTCTATGGCATAACGCACAGTTGACAACATTTCGGTGACTGGCACTGAGTGCTGCAAGAATGAATTTCCGTAAATCTTCTCCTTGACCCACTTGGGCATCATCCTCCATACGGACATGGAAAGTATTCAATTTATGCCTAGGTATGTGAGCAAGGAGTTCAGATAGATCAAGCCTTCTCAAAAATTGTACTGGAGCATCAAAATGTCCTGATCTATGTGCTTGTAATCCAGATGTCCCATAATCAAAGTGAGCATTCCTAAACATACCACTATTGGCCATATTCTTTCTATGAGGTTCTAAATGAATGGCATTCTTCAAAAATTCTCCTAAGTATCGCGAAGAGCGGGGGCCACTGAAATGGGTGGGGGCAAGAACAGAATAACCTGCTGGGGGAGATTGCCCAGGAGAACCGCAGGGAGAACGGACTGCATAATTACTGCTAGTAGTGCCTTTCTCTTGAGAGTTTTGCCTGTCCATTGAATGCCGTCGTTGGAGATCATGGTTTAAACCCTTCAGTGGTTTGTTAGCAGACCTGCACTTTTTAAGATCTTCTGAAGACTCCGATGTTGATCGTCCACTGCTTTTTTCAGACACAGATTTTTTCTTCTTTTCGTCTTGCATTCGTTTTACTTGGTACCAATCTGTGTCTTTTTTTAAATGGCCTTGCCCACATCGACATGAACAAAAACGGAAGGCAAGATCATATCCTTTCTTGGTCCACATATTTTGCCGACACTGTTTCTCGTTCCAACTCCTTGCTCTCCCAATGCAATTAAATTGAGCCAAAATGCTGCTCTCCCATTCGTAAAAACACTGAAGATGCATCCAAGTGCTGAAGGGACAATGCTCGTTGTTGCAAACAACTTTCTGGTAGTCATCTTTTTCTAGGTCAACGGCCCGTCCAAAGCTACACAACAGTGGTGTAGCACAAGGTGCTTCTGTGGAATGCAGAAAAAATAAGATGGATGAGCTATATGATTCAAAATTAACTACTTGCAATCTTTATTTTAGTTTTTTTTACTATATAAGAGCTATGCTAAGCTACAATCCAGGAGTTCTAAGCACATATGCAGTTCTATGTACATTTAAACTATGCTGTGAATTGAGATTCCATATGTCACTAGTATTTTCCTTTATAAATGAGCAGAGTAAGCCTAATGGATTGACCCTTTATTTGATTGTTCACAACGTCTAAAAAGTTTAGAAGACGCCACGGCATATGATTCAGTACATTTTGTTTAAAAGACAAAGTTTGAATTCATGTTATGTTTATTTGTTTAGCTTATTACTTATAACATGGATTAGACATCTTACTACAACATTTTCAGAACAAATCATAACTAGAATATATATTGAACTGTTTTTATTTAACAGCAATAAAGTATTTAACATATTGTTGCCTAGATATGTTTTTAAAACAATAGTATAGATCTGCACTTATTTCTAATAATTGCAAGTTTGTAGTATTTTTCAGTATCAAGCCAAAAATTAGTTACCTGTGACATTAATTTAATATTAATATTGTATACTATGAAGAAGGTATTGTTGTGATGTGGATGACTCAAAGAACATTAATTTGCATTTATTTAAGGCAAGTCAGCCAACATATAAACATCTTTCAAAACTGCATTTCTTAAAAAAAAAATGATTCCAGAGTCAAAAATTCAAATGGTCTTTGTTATGTTTGATTTTAATAATTGTTATGGTTGAGAAATACACTTCTTGATTAACAACAATTTCTAACTCCAAAGCATTAGTGGACTAGCTTTCAGGAATTTAAATCTTCTGATATGGAGAAAGAGATATTTTTCGAGAGAATGATAGAAATTAGGCTATAAATAGGGCTAAATATTTAGCCCTAATATTTGAAAGCATAATCAATTCTTCCAAACTCCAAAACAAGAACACAACATTTGAAATCCCACAACAACCATTTTAAGAAAGCACAGATTTCTGTAATAATATGTGACAACTAGAGCAATAAAATGAGAATCAATTATCCACATATATTTGGAATGTTTTGATTGGAAAACCCATATTTTCTTTTTTCATACTTAATTGCTAGTGAATTCCATAATATAATTACCAAGAATAATCACCCACACAAATTATTGTGGGGCATATGAATCTAAACTAATAATAAATCCCATTTTCATATGTTTTTAACTAGAAATAAAGATGATCCTCTCCACACTGAAACAAACATTAATAAATACATTAAAAAATAGTGGTACAAGAATAAAATCTTATTTGATAATAACTGGAATATTGTCAGAGACTGGACCATTATATTAAAATCTCATTTATATTATTATAATTATGGATCATCGCACAGTCAGCCAGATGTTCAGACTGGATTTGGCATTTTGTCTACCTATCGAGTCCTTACCCAGGACCTGGGATAGGCAGATGTGGATGTTTGATGGTATTACGGATATCGTCGCAGGATTATTATCATTATTATTATTATTATATTATTATTATTATTAGAATAATTAAGATCAAATGATACTGACCACATTGGAGTTATTTAAGTTAATCAAAGTTAACTGCCATCAGTTAAGTCAATCAAGCAACATAATTTTTTTTTATTTTATATTCACATATATTAACCTTCTGAGTCAATGTGAAACAATGATCAAATGAAGAACATTCAATTCTAAAATGAGTTTTTCTTTCAAAATACCATTTTGGACAACCATTCTCCAACTTGAAGCAATAAATGCTTTGCGGTTCATTTAGCAGTTACACTTATAAAATTGGTCTATAATTAAATGGACAGTTATGATACTTTTTATTAAAAATTGGAAGAATACAATACTTGTATTTTACCCTTTAAAAAGCTAGCCAGATGAATTAAGGTATTTAAAATCCTTAGAATGATTAATCTGCCATACAGATTTAACATGTTTAGCCAGACAACTGCCTATTTTAATGATTAAAATTAAAATTAATTGCTTGTAAAATAAGGTATCCCATTTATAGAATTAACTGATTCTCATCTGCTCTCTCATGCATAAACTATTCACAAAAAGAAACATACAATGTACAGGCTTCCTTTCTTCAAAAAGAACAGTATAAATTGGAAAGGAAAGAAGAAAAATGGTATGGAAATGTGGAAGGGGGAAAGTAGTTCCACAGGAAGGGAATTAAGATAAGGAGCAAGAAAGAGGCAACCAGACAGAAAAGAGGGAAAAAATGGAAACCCTAGATCCAGCATTTGAACCCGTAAGAAACCAGACCATCGGAACGACCAATCAAGGGAACCAATCAGCTTCTCAATTTAAATACAGCACCAAATGAAGAGCCAATCACGTAACCAACCGACCACTGAAGACATATATAAGCTAAAGAGGAATAGGACTTCCGCAAAACTCCCGCTGATGATGTTACCTAGCCTATGGGAACTAAATGGCAAGCTCAGAGAGCAAACCACTGCCAAAATCTAAAACCCAAGCTACCAGCATTTTCTATTATTTCAAAATGGAAACCCTGCTTAGACATTACAGTCACATTTTTAAAGGCAGGTAATCTACAATCATTCACACTTTCTCTCCATTCCTGCTACTTTCTCTTTCTTGTCATAAATCTATGGAACACTTAAATACCAGCACAGTAACAAAACTTTTCCTGGAGGCTTAGTAACAGGGGAGTTATTAATACACTTCTTTGGGGGGGGGGGGAAACCCTAAAGTCAAGAGTTAGTGCTTCCAATATCCATTATCAGCAGGAATATCTGACCTGAAGAAATAAACTAAAACAAATAAATACCCTCATTTCAAACTGCATGCTTCTCTCTTTCTTATTCAGATACATCCTAAGAAAAGAACTCCTGGGAAGGGCTGCCTCTCTTTATTTTCCTGTTACCGGTAATCACTCTGCCCTGGTTTATTTAAATGAAAATCCTCCTGCCATCAGTACCTTTAGAGCAGTGGTTCTCAACCTGTGGGTCGGGACCCCATTTGGGGTCGAACGACCATTTCACAGGGGTCGCCAAACAACACAGTCCGCCATTTTCCCCCCCTTTTCCTTAGCTGTGCTACTCCCTTTTATTCTATTGGCTTTTGAAAGCCAATAGAATAGACTCTCTTGAATAGAGTCTAATTCTATTGGCTTTCAAAAGCCAATAGGAATTGTCCAGGCTGTCTCTGCCCTGCTGAGCCCGCCAAAAGTCCCAGTCTGCAAACGGTGCTGCACCAGTTGAGTAGTCCTCGACTTACGACCGGTTGAGTAGTCCTCGACTTACGACCGGTTGGGGGTCGCGGCATTAAAAAGGTTGAGAACCACTGCTTTAGAGAATTTCACTGATCCATTAAGAATGCAACTCTTCCTAGCAAAAATAGATAAAAAAAAACCTCACCAACATCCTGGAAGTGTAGAAGGCTTCCAGGGACTTACTATCACATGTGGTGGGAATGTTCAAAGGCGCAAATTTTTTGGAATCGGATCAAAAATTGGCTGGAAGAAATGTTATTACAAAAAATTGATTTAAAACCGGAAATCTTATTAGGGATAATTAATGATAAATTCAGCAAAGCATCTTTTTACTTACTACTGCATATTTTAACCACAGCAAGATTGGCATACACCCAAAAATAGAAAAGAAAGGAAACCCCCACTGAGGAAGAAATAATAAATAAAATTTTATCCTGCGCTGAAATGGACAGGTTAACCCTAGAGATTAAAAATAAAACTGAAACAGAGTATTATGAAATTTGGAAAAATTGGTTAGAGATAAGGAGGATCGCTGAGATGATTATCGATTGACTAGTTGATATTATAAGGACTTTTTATCAGTACTTATATTAGGACACAACTGAATGATATGTAAATACAACATTGACAATCGAAAAATGGTTTATCAAAAAAATTACAGATGTTATACGCACAGTCTGTTATACTCTGTCCTGTTATAGAATGTATTTTAAGTTTCTTTCTTTTTTTCTGTAACATAAGGGAATACTAATAGCACTGTTGAAGTCAGGGAAGTTGAATCATGTCCATTTTTGTTTTTAAAATGTACATTTAATAAAATTTGAAAAAAAAGAATGCAACTCTTTATTATATACTCAGATTAAAGAACTAGAGGGAAATTTAAAGAGTACAAAAAAAGGCAATAGAAAAAAAATTAACCATGATTTTTGAAGAATGAATAAATGAACATCATGATGTTTTTGACTCATTTGTTTAATGGGGCTCTCTTTATCAGGTTTTAGGATTTGTGTGGACTACAAATCATATTTTGGGTTCTATTTATGCAGAAATATTGAACATTCAAAAGAGTTCACAAATGTTTAAGAAACACTGTAATTATAAAGTAATTCCAATTGCAGCATACCATTGAAAGAAAATGTGACAATTATTGGAACTTTTGTCCAATATATTTTGAGGGCTGCAGAATAAGGAATAGTCTTTAAGTGTTCAGTTTGCAACTATTAATTGACTAGCAACATAAACTAAGTGCGTATTTTTCAAACAAATGCAATAGCTCATGTTCAATTCTATAAATTGTCATTTTGTTTTATTTATTCATCATATTTATATAGCTGCCCATCTCACAATCAAGTGACTCTGGGTGGCATGTTATAAAGTTAAAAACAAAATATACAAATTAATATTAACATTGTTAATATTAAAAATTTAAAAGTATAGAAGGCTCAAAAACTTCAGTAGTTATTAAAATCAGTTGGAATTGTTATATTCCTAAAATTTACTAAAGGACATAAATATTACCTGGTAGTAGCCTACTTGTTTCTTAGTCTCCAGCCCTTGTTTCTCCATAAACTGTACTTATATAGATTATAACAGCAAAACCCCATTTCACTAATATCGTAATTTTGACAAAGCAATATCAAAAATTCTCCATTCTATTACTTGGACAGGAACAGAAGCAGATTGACTTCATTTGTTTACCCCTATACAAAACTGGCCATCTATC